CATCGCTAGTGATATGTTTTGTATGTCAGACCGTGTTTGGCAGATTTAAACCATCAAATAACAATTCATTGTGAATTTTAGTAACTTTTATATGTTTCACAAAAGGTTTATCACGCAATTTCTTTCATGATTTCCTTGCGAAAGGAGTTAACGTGAAATCAGACTCACCGTTTCGATACTTGATATCGTGTGCATTTGTTTACAAACAGTCTTCTTCCCGCCAGAGGGCGCAGCATTTCGCGCTATATTTGAATTATCGCTAATTTTGGCGGGGGCTTCTCAGAATTTAAACTGACCACACTGGACATTGGCTACATAGGAGAAAACTATTATGTACAGATTTGTTAGTCTGGACACATATATTTTCATTTCCAGTTGAAAAGAAAAAAACGTTGCTTGACTAAATATCCTTTTTAATGTCACCATCATCAACAAATAATGGTATATGAGATACTTTTAACCTGGGTGTGGTTTCAGAGTCATGTTTTAGTGTTCTAGGATTTTCCGGTAGAAGTGATGATGTTTGCCCTTGACTTTGATACCACAAGTCGGAAGTGTTAAACGGTCACTTGTAACGGGAAGGGTGTACTTATGTGCGCACTCGCTCCGCGTAGTGTGTTCAGTACTGTCCGGCGTTACCAGGTTCGAATCGAGTTGTTGTTGAAATATTGGCTCGGGGAAATTATGAACAAAGACATATTAACAGCTTACGTATATTTATTAACAATGACAAGAAATGACAGCGACGAGAAACATTAGAACAGATAATCACTGCAATGTGTAGACATGACATTAACATATAAACAACCTTTGAGAAAACCCCCGATCTTCATACCACTTAAACCTAATGATTACCCATAGAACCTAGCAAGCTGATTAACCCATCCGATCAAAAAAGAAAATGTGTGACCGTCGACTCACGAGTTCAATCGTAATAGCGGCGAACGTACCTGCAAACGGGGTGTTATGTACTCTGAGAGTACAATTATGTATACACGTCCAATCAGAAGCCTGGATCGAACGCACCTGACTGGAAATAATCTCTAAGCCAAACTACTGCCTTCCTTTTAACACCCGTAGAAAACGTGCGAAGTGCTGTCTGTCACAAAAAGTAAGACAGAACAGGCGGTAAATAATGACCCGTAACTACAACTTGCATTGCAATACTTTTAGAATATCGCGAGATAATGGTTCAACAACGAGATATACAGATATAAACAAATTTAGAATGAGAATAACGACGTGAAATCCAATCCCGCTACACACTAGCATTGTCTGGGTAGATCCGCCATACACTGCCTGTAAGGTGAAGCCGATCTTAATGAACTGCGGAAATAATCTTACCTATGTTCATAAGCACTTCAGCATGACTTAGATATTGTTTAGTTTCAAAACCGTATCCAAAAATCTCTTGTTCTTTCAAAACACCTCTTTAGTGTCACAATAACACGGCGCGTAATTTTGTGTCATTGATGGCCGTGAGACTATTCGTCACGGTCTGCCCTTTGCCGGTATGCACGTGCTGTCGCGTACCCGTAGACGTTTACCTTACCTTCTGATACATCTGAGTATGTACGTGACTCACCTGTGATGTGTACCTGTTGAACTACCTATTTGTGATCCGATCTCGCCATTACCTCTGTTAGCGCAGTCATAACCCCGTCTATGTAACTCAAATCCAGCGACCTGTCGTCCGGCTCATGTTAAGAATATAAGGCGACCAATTCTCAAAAACAAAACCAAACCCACATACACATCAAATACTACAGCAGTCTACTTAATGCGTCAAATATACCCAAACATTACATATAATTATCCCTCCCAAATATGTTAATTTATCACACTTAACTGGAGCACACCGCTTACCTTGACCGGCGGCAGATAATTATCTATGTTGTCTATATTACACAATGTTCATACTAAACTACAAGTAAAGCACACAGATCTGTGATTGGTACAGCAACAATGTCGGTATTAAACCCATTCCTTCCTTATTTTTATCTTTGTTTTGTAAATTTAACATTTTATGAAACTGTTATCAGATAAGCAAATCAGTGAATTTAAATAAGTGAGTGAAAAAGGATCCTCATATCCTATTTGATAATTGTATTTTATTTTTATACTTTTTTCATATTATGTTAGTTCAATATTTTTGAGGTTTTAAAGAAAATATCACACTCATCCAAGATATTTGAGTCAGAATTATATACTGACGATAAGATGTTTATTAGTCATGTTGTAAACATTCCTATATAAACTCTATATACCATACATCAATCTATCAAGTATGACACTCTTAGCATGTCGTAGTGCAATTCTGCTGGGTGTAATCAGTATTTCTCTATCCTCAATAGGAGCCTGTAGATACCATATAGTGGAGTGTTTAGCGAGCATAAAATTTAGCGTTTTGGGTTAAAACTTTTGGTGTTTAATTTTAGCAATGATTAGTTTGGCAATAATGCCATCATTTTTTTTAATCTAGCGTTGCCCTACCTGCGGTGTTCTCATTGGGTTGTGTATATGAAAGTAAGCTCCCACATCCTCCTTCTGTCGACTTGCCCAGTACTACATCGTGGTACGCTTTACAAGTACACAAATAAATACTGGTATATACTGAACACATCTCACATCTTTATTCAAAATCTTATACATTTAAAAAAAGTGATCAAAATAACCACAGACATATCAATTCAGTGTGTCAGGTTCAGTCACCTTTTGGTGTCAACACTCGTTCACGGGAAAGCTGTCGCTATTGATTAGTGAGATGAACATGTCTTTGACTTGGTATGTCTATATCGGAACAGTCAATACGCTGGTGGTGGGGGGAGTGGGGGGGGGGGTAAACTTTAAGGAAATGCATTTTAGCATTTTAAAGTAACTCGCTAAATTACCTTAATTTGTACCTTGCCAAATAGCAACTTCTCTGTACAGAATGTCATCTCCTATCCTATGTCTCTTTGTTGTTTTTTAGAAATGATGGAATGTTCATGGGAATTGGGTAACATGTGACGCATCGGTTTCTTTCCTGTATCAATGTTATCCACGTGAAAATAACTGGACCCAGACTCCGTGCACGTTTTACATCAAGCTGTCTGTCAAAAGCAGTGTTGGAAAGGGCATCCAGGGTGATAACTGCTACGGACAGGCTTTGATTACATTGGGTAATCTGTATCTCATTGTTGATGGCATCATGAGAGATGACACCAATCTGTACGACTTCATTCTTAAAGTATACCTTGAGAGGTCAGCTGTGTTGACCTTGAAAAATAGTTCTGCACATAAAATACACTATGCCGAAAACGCGAATGCCGTGGAATGTTCCGTTACTGAGAAATTACGACTTTTCTGAAAAACACACCTTGTTAACCTCGTTTTCGGGCACCCAAACCTGTGACGTCATAAGTTCAACGCTTTTGTTGATGCAGCCATATTGTCTTTACTGTGCTACATGTGATTGTAATCTATTTTGGGATTTTCCGTGGTAATTTCTTTGTTTATTTACGTGAAAGTACTTCACATCTACGCAATATTTAAGGTAGTGAACGAGGGGTCGGTGAATTAGCGCTTAAATCCGCTAAAATGGCTTCCTATCGAGGAGGGAAGCGGTTTGTATGGTTGTCCTAACACTAACACGGATGGGGTGTCGATGCATGACGTCGATAAATAAAACTGATTGTTGATTAAATAAAAGTATATTTGTTAGGTTGATATTTTGTTATTAATTCTACAACTAAACATTTTAAATTGATAGGCTAGCCTATGACTTGGGCGGTCATAGGAATATTATTCCTTCGTAATCGTGAACGCCTAATACTCGGAGAAGGCCTAGTCGTGAATGGGTCACGGGAATTTTCATCCCGAGAATTTTCATACTACTATTATATAGTATAGAATAGAATTATTAGAATTTATAGAATAGGTTATGTGTGTATGTTGTTTGTATAAGGTGTATTTGGTTTTTAGATCTTCCAGCAGACGATGTTGTTTAGTTATTAATTTTGCGATCGTAAAAATAACAATAAGATCACTAATCTTGATTTGAAAACACAGTTCACAGTGTAGAGATGTCATCTAAACTCATAATCACACCTGTGCCAGGTTAGGTAATTAGCACCTCTGTGGCTGGAAAAAACAATTGTGACACCTGTGAGGCGACACGCCTGTCGGCTAACAACAGACGCGTACCAGTGCTAGGGTAAAAACCAGTCAAATAATTGTTTAAACTTCTACAACATCAATTTTTTATTATTAACACAGCGGAGGGTGTTATAATTGGTAGTTGACACCCTATCGATATATATCCAGAGTGCTACGAAAATTCCCTGGAAAGAAAAATTCCCCTCGGACGAAACTTCTTCGGTAAGAAAATTCCCGACACCTCGTGAATGTATGCATAGTCTTGCACAAACGCGATTTCCCGACGTCAGAAATTGTTGATCGAGACTTGAAGATAGTAAAATTAGTCCAAAACCACACCCAATTTTATTTTGTTTCTTTGAAACGACGATTCACTGTTCGACTACTTTCACGACTACTGGTGAGACCCAGTGAAGTACGTGCCAATCTATGTTGCCCAAGCGATCGTCACTTTTCGAAGGGTCATTTTCCTCCTCACTGCATACATCGTCTTGTAATTCCAGTTCAAATCGGTAGGGCTGGATTCCGTCTTCAGACATATCATTCACACCATAATCAGACTCCTCAAAACTCATGCTCAAATCGCTCTCAGTTGCGGTGTCGTTGTCACTGTCAGTCATGTTGACTGCCATTTCTGTTGAACTTATGACGTCACGAGTAGAAGAGCCTCGATTCCGCGGAAATGACGATTCGGCTGATTAGGTCTGGGCGGACAGGTGAAAATCGACAACTTTGAGCTTTGATAACTCGACACTGGGGCGACGGATTTTGACGGGGTTTTCATTATTATTATTTTTACGGCATTCTTAACATTATATCTAAATATAAAATTACTCTCAGGGTACACTTTAAATGTCGTGATATCAAGTCAGCATCCACAATGGTAGTTCCTGGTCTATACTGGATGTCGGATTGTAGGATCCCAGAGCACCAACCCATCTGTAAATAGTGGCATCCAACTTCGCCATGTTAGAATGACAAAAGGGGTCGTTGTCCGTTACTGCTGTAAATGAGCTTTCACACAAGTAGTCTGATAACCTGTCTATAACGGCCCACATCAGTACCAAGATCTCTATTTGTTTGTTGGGTATGGGTACTTCCCTTCCAGGTTCGACAATCCTATGCTGGCATATGCAATTACTCGCTTGACACCGTCCTGTTCTTGATAGAGTACTGAATCGAGCGAACTGTATTTACCATGAGTGTAGCAGTAAACAGTTTCTCGATGAGGCCATGGGTGATATATTTATTCATCAGATTACCCATTTTAAACGTTTAAATCAAAATTTTAAAAACGAATCCTTGCTCAAATTGGTGTTGTTAAGTAGAAGTGGCAATGTAGAGTTTCATATTTTTCAGAATAACATGTTTGCATTGTGTGAGAGAATACTACTTGGGCAATCTGTTGTGTCTACTCTCAAAACTGGCTTTACAGGAAGTGAAATTTCTTTAGTGTCTGCACCTGGTCATGTTGTGAAGGAGTTCTGAGTTGGAATTTAATCTGAAATGTAAGTAATTTGTTACTGTGACAGTGTTATTAATCTTAAGACAGATGTACATAAATAGATTCATCCTATATGTAGTGTTAGACTAGAATTGGAATTAGTGCTATTTTTGCATTTTCTGAGTTGATCACTATGGCAATCACATGTCAGAAATCAGGGGCTATTTTTGGTTTACACAATTTTTATTTCTCTACTGTTAATGTAATTGTTATGTAGTTTAGATATATATACATGTAATGATGTATTTTTCATAATCAATCTGCCATACCTGTATATCTCAAACATGACCTATAATTTCAGGAAAAATGCAAATTGATGTTTCCTGCTACATAAACCAGGGGTGGTCGTGAGCTCGATCCTCACAGGGGGCTCCAAAAGTAACCAGAAATGTTTTGAATTTTGTTGCATAATAACATTTGACAGAGTTTAATAACCAGGCTTTATTATTGACTTAAACAACCTACAACACAGCAATAAATGTAAATAAAACATATCACACACTGTACAAACAAGGGACATAACTCTACCTAAGTAACATGTACGTGTTCTTGTTTTCATTTATGTATTTATTTTGATACTGTTATATACTGAATACAATACAGTTTAACTTCTATTTCATCCAAGCTATTATTTCTACAATTCGAGACCTTGATGAAAAAAAACTTAGTGGTAACAATGAAATGACGTAAAACTCATATTGTGCTTTTAATTGATGATTTGACATGACGATTTAACACTTATATATTTCTAGTCGATTAAATAAACAAAGATCAAAGAGTCAATATCGGCATGTTCAAGCAGTACGTTGGAATAGCCATTCTGATATCGAACCGTCGCCGTTTCTATGCCAACAATAATGACATCACAATGAACACGCGGTGGACGGTATTAAAAGTCCCTTAAATCATAGATATATATGGTTGAAAATATTTGCATATCACTTCAGTTAACATACATTTTTACATCAATCATTTCGTCTAGGTAGCGCTTCAGTTAATAACGATATTTAAAAATCTGCAATGTAAATATGTTTATTGTCAATATTTTACATACGGTAGTTAATGCAAAGTAAATTGGGTAATCAATACTTTTTCAGTGTTGAATTCTGTTTTCACAATAATTTGGGCCTTGGTTCAATGAGTTAGGTACCTGGTAATGTTTGTTTGCTGTGGGGGTTGGGGGAGTTAGGTTGTTATCGTCCTGTAAATAGCCAGCGTCATTTAGATGCATAATGTCCTTGTAGAAGCTGGTGACTACTTAAGTGAATGCCATACGGGATACCCGTATCATATCATAATGTCATGTATCATCGTTTAGAGCAATTAGAGTTAAGTGTCTTGCCAAAGGGCACAACTACGACAACGCTGACCCATACAGGTAGCATGAAACACACACCTCGGTACTTCACACAAGGTTATGTATATCAACATCTCTGACCTATACAGGTAGCGTGAAACACACACCTCGGTACTTCACACAAGGTTATATATATCAACATCTCTGACCTATACAGGAAGCGTGAACCACACAACTCTTTTCTCGGTATATACTTCACATATAGGTTATGTAAAATATCATATATGCCTCTCTGATCTATGCAGGTAGGGTGAACCACACACCTTGGTACTTCACATAAGGTTATGTATATCAACCTCTCTGACCTATACAGGTAGCGTGAAACACACACCTTGGTACTTCACATAAGGTTATGTATATCAACCTCTCTGACCTATACAGGAAGCGTGAACCACACAACTCGGTACTTCACATAAGGTTATGTATATCAACCTCTCTGATCTATGCAGGTAGGGTGAACCACACACCTTGGTACTTCACATAAGGTTATGTATATCAACCTCTCTGATCTATGCAGGTAGGGTGAACCACACACCTTGGTACTTCACATAAGGTTATGTATATCAACCTCTCTGACCTATACAGGAAGCGTGAACCACACACCTCGGTACTTTACATAAGGTTATGTATATCAACCTCTCTGACCTATACAGGAAGCGTGAACCACACACCTCGGTACTTTACATAAGGTTATGTATATCAAACTCTCTGATCTATGCAGGTAGGGTGAACCACACACCTTGGTACTTCACATAAGGTTATGTATATCAACCTCTCTGACCTATACAGGAAGCGTGAACCACACACCTTGGTACTTCACATAAGGTTATGTATATCAACCTCTCTGATCTATGCAGGTAGGGTGAACCACACACCTCGGTACTTCACGCAAGGTTATATCAACTTCTCTGACCTATACAGGAAGCGTGAACCACACACCTTGGTACTTCACATAAGGTTATGTATATCAACCTCTCTGATCTATGCAGGTAGGGTGAACCACACACCTCGGTACTTCACGCAAGGTTATATCAACTTCTCTGACCTATACACGTAGGATGAACCACACACCTCGGCTCTTCACGCAAGGTTATATCAACCTCTCTGACCTATACAGGTAGGGTGAACCACACATCTCTGTACTTCACACGCAAGGTTATCAACCTCTAACTGACTTATCACTGCCCCAATTATTATGAAGTTGGTTATGCAAACATGTGTATTCGTTCATAGGAAATACGAAATAAAGAATTATTGCACAAAGATTGAACCCCACTGAATGTGTTATTCTTATGTCGAAAAAAAAATGAAAAGTTCATGTTTGAATGCTAGTATCAGTGGTCAAATTGGACTTTTAATGTTGTTTTTTTTTACAAAATACCTACTCACATATTTATACATTTCCACTTTGGTGTGGAGAAAGTTGTTCAAGGTTTCAGTATAATTAGTACACAGTCTAGAAGTTAAACATTCGCTTCCGTCTGTCCTGGTTTCATCTAGAGAAGCTGAACGTCAGATGTTAACAAGAGCTGATACATGTCTTATCATAAAATAACTAATTATTTACTATTTATCATTTACACTCACAATCTTATAACATATTGTTTCACTTTTGAGTTTTTCGGTTCAATAAGATAACGAGTGCCAATGATAATTAGTCAAATAAGATATATGACTAAGGGTGTAAATTGTCATTATAAAGAAAAACATGTTATCTGTTTTATAGTGAAAATGGTCTTTAGTAAGACAGTATATGTTATAACATTAAGAGTGTGAATGTCATAAATAAGACAGTATATGTTATAACTTTAAGAGTGTCGATGACATTAGTAAGACAGTATATGTTATAACATTAAGAGTGTAATTGTCTTTAGTAAGACAGTATATGTTATAACATTAAGAGTGTCGATGACATCAGTAAGACAGTATATGTTATAACATTAAGAGTGTCAATGACATCAGTAAGACAATATATGTTATAACATTAAGAGTGTCGATGACATTAATAAGACAATATATGTTATAACATTAAGAAATTAAATGTCATCAGTAAGACAATCCTTCAGCCAATCACAGCTCCACTTAGCGTTTAACAAAGTTAGTCATCTATTACCGAATTAATATGTTGACTGAGGCATTCAAATTGAGGTTCGGACCACATACCATCACTTTGACACGTGATCCTCATATTTTCTGAATTAGTAGATAACCTGTCGTTGTCGCAATAGAATGTGAAGATACTTTGATAAGTGAAAACGGAATAAGCATATCCGCCGACCCCGTCAGGAATCCGCAATCTGAAACAAATGTCACTGTATAACTCAGGTAAGACATTATTCTTCCGCGCACCTGTAGGAGAATTTTGCCCAAATACACCTTGAATTAACCCCTGCCAAAATTACATCTTAACTTACCCCCCGCCAAAAGTACACTTTGAATTAACCCCTGCTCAAAGTACACCTTGAATTAACCCCTGCCCAAAGTACATCTTAACTTACCCCCCGCCAAAAGTACACATTGAATTAACCCCTGCCGAAAGTACACCTTGAATTAACCCCTTCCCAAAGTACACCTTGAATTAACTCCTGCCCAAAGTACACCTTGAATTAAGTCCTGCTCAAAGTACACCTTGAATTAACCCCTTCCCAATGTACACCTTGAATTAACCCCTGCCCAAATACACATTGAATTAACCCCTTCCCAAAGTACACCTTGAATTAACCCCCGCCAAAAGCACACCTTGAATTAACCCCTGCCCAAATACACCTTGAATTTACCCCCGCCAAAAGTACACTTTGAATTAACCCCTGATCAAAGTACATCTTAACTTTCCCCCTAGCCAAAAGCACACCTTGAATTAACCCCTGCCCAAATACACCTTGAATTTAGCCCCGCCAAAAGTACATCTTAACTTACCCCCCGCCAAATATACACCTTGAATTAACCCCTGCCAAATGTACACCTTGAATTAACCCGTTCCCAAATACACCTTGAATTAACCCCTACCAAATGTACACCTTGAATTAACCCCTGCCAAATGTACACCTTGAATTAACCCCTTCCCAAATACACCTTGAATTTACCCCCGCCAAATGTACACCTTGAATTAACCCCTTCCCAAATACACCTTGAATTCACCCCTTCCCAAAGTACACCTTGAATTAACCTTTGCTCAACGTACACCTTGAATTAACCCCCGCCAAAAGTACACCTTGAATTAACCCCTGCCGAAAGTACACCTTGAATTAACCCCCGCCCAAAGTACACCTTGAGGGGAATTAACCCCTGCCCAAAGTACACCTTGAATTAACCCCTGCCCAAAGTACACCTTGAATTAACCCCTTCCCAAAGTACACCTTGAATTAACCCCTGCCCAAAGTACACCTTGAATTAACCCCTTCCCAAAGTACACCTTGAATTAACTCCTGCCCAAAGTACACCTTGAATTAAGTCCTGCTCAAAGTACACCTTGAATTAACCCCTTCCCAATGTACACCTTGAATTAACCCCTGCCCAAATACACATTGAATTAACCCCTTCCCAAAGTACACCTTGAATTAACCCCCGCCAAAAGCACACCTTGAATTAACCCCGCCAAAAGCACACCTTGAATTAACCCCTGCCCAAATACACCTTGAATTTACCCCCGCCAAAAGTACACTTTGAATTAACCCCTGATCAAAGTACATCTTAACTTTCCCCCTAGCCAAAAGCACACCTTGAATTAACCCCTGCCCAAATACACCTTGAATTAAGTCCTGCTCAAAGTACACCTTGAATTAACCCCTTCCCAATGTACACCTTGAATTAACCCCTGCCCAAATACACATTGAATTAACCCCTTCCCAAAGTACACCTTGAATTAACCCCCGCCAAAAGCACACCTTGAATTAACCCCTGCCCAAATACACCTTGAATTTACCCCCGCCAAATTTACACTTTGAATTAACCCCTGCCCAAAGTACATCTTAACTTACCCCCCGCCAGATATACACCTTGAATTAACCCCTGCCAAATGCACACCTTGAATTAACCCCTTCCCAAATACACCTTGAATTTACCCCCGCCAAATGTACACCTTGAATTAACCCCTTCCCAAATACACCTTGAATTAACCCCTGCTACACCTTGAATTAACCCCTTCCCAAATACACCTTGAATTAACCCCTGCTACACCTTGAATTAACCCCTTCCCAATTACACCTTGAATTAACCCCTGCCCAAATACACCTTGAATTTACCCCCGCCAAAAGTACACCTTGAATTAACCCCTGCTCAAAGTACACCTTGAATTAACCCCTGCCCAAAGTACACCTTGAATTAACCCCCGCCCAAAGTACACCTTGAATTAACCCCTGCCAAAAGAACATCTTGAATTAACCCCTGCCCAAAGTACACCTTGAATTAACCTCTGCCCAAAGTACACCTTGAATTAACCACCGCTCAAAGTACACCTTGAATTAACCCCTGCCCAAAGTACACCTTGAATTAACCCCTGCCCAAAGTACACCTTGAATTAACCCCTGCCCAAAGTACATCTTAACTTACCCACCGCCAAAAGTACACATTGAATTAACCCCTGCCGAAAGTACACCTTGAATTAACCCCTTCCCAAAGTACACCTTGAATTAAGTCCTGCTCAAAGTACACCTTGAATTAACCCCTTCCCAATGTACACCTTGAATTAACCCCTGCCCAAATACACATTGAATTAACCCCCGCCAAAAGCACACCTTGAATTAACCCCTGCCCAAATACACCTTGAATTTACCCCCGCCAAATGTACACCTTGAATTAACCCCTTCCCAAATACACCTTGAATTAACCCCTGCCAAATGTACACCTTGAATTAACCCCTTCCCAAATACACCTTGAATTTACCCCCGCCAAATGTACACCTTGAATTAACCCCTTCCCAATTACACCTTGAATTAACCCCTTCCCAAAGTACACCTTGAATTAACCCTTGCTCAACGTACACCTTGAATTAACCCCTTCCCAATTACACCTTGAATTAACCTCTGCCCAAAGTACACCTTGAATGAACCCTTGCTCAAAGTACACCTTGAATTAACCCCTGCCAAAAGAACATCTTGAATTAACCCCTGCCCAAATACACCTTCAATTAACCCCCGCCCAAAGTACACCTTGAATTAAGCCCTTCCCAAAGTATACCTTGAATTAACCCCCGCCAAATGTACACCTTGAATTAACCCCTGCCGAAAGGACACCTTGAATTAACCCCCGCCAAATGTACACCTTGAATTAACCCCTGCCGAAAGGACACCTTGAATTAACCCCTTCCCAAAGTACACCTTGAATTAACCCCTGCCGAAAGGACACCTTGAATTAACCCCCGCCAAATGTACACCTTGAATTAACCCCTGCCGAAAGGACACCTTGAATTAACCCCTTCCCAAAGTACACCTTGAATTAACCCCTGCCCAAATACACCTTGAATTTACCCCCGCCCAAAGTACACCTTCAATTAACCCCCGCCCAAAGTACACCTTGAATGAACCCTTGCTCAAAGTACACCTTGAATTAACCCCTGCCCAAATACACCTTCAATTAACCCCCGCCCAAAGTACACCTTGAATGAACCCTTGCTCAAAGTACACCTTGAATTAACCCCTGCCAAAAGAACATCTTGAATTAACCCCTGCCCAAATACACCTTCAATTAACCCCCGCCCAAAGTACACCTTGAATTAAGCCCTTCCCAAAGTATACCTTGAATTAACCCCCGCCAAATGTACACCTTGAATTAACCCCTGCCGAAAGGACACCTTGAATTAACCCCCGCCAAATGTACACCTTGAATTAACCCCTGCCGAAAGGACACCTTGAATTAACCCCTTCCCAAAGTACACCTTGAATTAACCCCTGCCCAATGTACACCTTGAATTAACCCCTGCCCAAAGTAGACCTTGAATTAACTCCTGCCCAAAGTCTTCTGTTGTACTACTACTGATATTTTCTCTAGCGAATCTGAATACCTCTCGTGAAAACAATTGATCTTGTATTATAACATCACTATCAAACATTAAAAACTTATTCTTTCAATGAACATACCAACTAAGTCGCATGATATATCTAAAGCTTCCCAAACACCCTGTGTGTTGCAGAGTCTGTTTCCTGTTCCGCCCACTTGTTCATAGCCTGTGTCACATGTGTAGGAGATGATAGAACCTGCAGGTGCGTCTGTCGCCGTGGTGTGTGCTTGCTGCATGTTCGTTGTGATCACACAGTCTGAAAGCATAAGACAATGAACTTCGTTTCATTCTCCTGTTTCTTTCCTTATCTATCTTGATTTACCAATTCTGCTAGATTTATATCCCTGTACAAATGTAGCTGGTTCATCTGAACAGTCAATATCTTATTCTTTATTCAAACGAAGATATATTTCCCGTTTTTTGGGTTTCGTTTTTTTTTGTTTTTGTTTTGTTTTGTGTTTTGTTTTTAATTGTTTGGTTTTTTTAATCTAAATGTTCACCAATGAGATTCTAATTCTTAATTCAACAGTATAATCAGGTGCCTTAAATTGCCTCCGATACACGATGCCTCTTTAAGAGCTCTTCCGATAACGACAGGACAATATGGCAGAAGATAGAATTGTATCAAAAATGCTTGGTGTGTCCCCACAATTTATACCCGAAATAAACTATTATGATATTACAATTGTATTGCCAAACTATCACATCGAAATATAACATATGTTAACTATTGACGCTCAAATTAGTTATATTACGCCTAGATAATTTCTGGGTTCAAACAGTTCACACAACCTGTAAGACTAGTTTGCACAGAGGGTAGGGATTATTATCAATACATTTACCTGGTACGCACACAAAAGTCGATGCCGACCAATTTCCATCTAATCCGCATCTGATGGCAGTGGATCCGGAAGCGGAAGTGCCAGCAATGCATCGGTATGTCCTGTTTGATCCTGTGGTCGTGTTTCCGGAAGAAACAATTGCACTAGATATATTTGGTGGGTTTCCACAACCTGAAAACAAAACAAAATTATCATAAAAAGCGCAAGATTGTATGTTACCGGAAATCTGGCTATTTTGTCGCGTTTTAAAACACAATTCAGATAATCACGTGGTGATCTGGACTACAAAAACTACAAGAGGACGAATCGTAAATCACTCCAATGTCAACACAAAGAGACTGTAGATGTATAGTTCTCTAGGACCAACACAACAGAAGAATTGAGTTGATCTAACAGATCTGGTGATTAAAACAAACGCTTCATGGTAATCCGATGGGATTTAGACACAGACAAGAAAACAACATATTACATATGCTATCAGCTGTGAACAATCTAGTTCATCGCAAAACCGACTTCGAACTTCTGGCATGTTGATTGGTTGAAAACTCCTGACCAAAATATTCTTTCAAGCTTTCGTGTAAAAACAGAGAAAGTTTTAAACAATGCCAATAAAATAAACAGGATTATATATTATATTGATGGTTTGAAATTCGTTATTCCCACTACTTGTTGATAAAAGCTGACAAATAAGGAAAAGATCACCATATTTGATTCTCTTTTTATCTGATTTCCGGTTTAGGACGACCGGAAACCTTCGTCATTTTTCGTTTACAATACATACCGAAGGTTTCTGATGAAGATTAAAGATCACGCTACTTTACTTGTTGATTGTATTACATACAGATGTAATTTGAATTTATTCGCATCAAATACCTGTACAAATGTAATCGGGGGTTGCAAGAAACGTCACAACACCGGAGTTCGTTCTGTATATTTATTACGATCATAAGGACGACACCCTGCATGTAGTGCAGGGCCGATGATCGTCGAACCACACTCAATAAACTGAGGATCAGGATCACATTATTAAATCGTCTGTCTTTGTCGGAGCCAGATCTATAGCACAACTGCTAGTTCCAAAACAAACTTGTCATCTGGCAAATTCCCGCCAACTGACCACACAAAGAACAACAAACACAATGACCACACCAACTGACCAATCAGAACACAAGACATAATAAAACACTATGACACTAACGCCACCAAAGGCAATCACACCTTCGGACACGGACGGACGCGGATATATATATATAACGACGTCAACGATAAAATAGGCAAAGCGAAAGCTGGTACTTACGACATGAAGTAATTATATTAAATAAAAACAATAACAAATAACCCTGTTACATCCTCCCCTGCTTCGGAAAATGTCGTCCACGACTAAAGACATTCCTAGGAATGCTGCTACTTACATAGCATAAATGTAAAACTTTCCTGCAAAACTGAAAATAATAATAAAATCATCTAAAAACAAGAAAATCTGGAACTATTAATCAAGAAAATCTGGAACTATTAATCAAAAAGGCAGAACAACTCAAGTCTTCCCAGCAACAATACTCAGAAGAGCAGAGACAACCCTGTCATCCTGTCTGTCCAGAGATCCCACTTCTACTAGTTCCGAAAGGAATCTGGCACGACTTCGCCACTCAGGCTCACCCAGTTGCTGTTTCAGCACATATCGGTCATCTCTCATCCAGGCGGGTTTGGCCCGACTCCTCAGTGACCGTCTGGGTGCCACAGGACTTGCCTGGCGATCAGCTGGTGGCTCCAATTCTTCGGGTTGCTCAACAGGTTCTTCTATCTCTTCTGGTTGCTGCTCATGCACAACATCCTCGGGCACTGTGGTAGTGGCTGGTCCGGAAACGATGTTGGGTCGAACATCAGTCGTAACCACTACCACTTCCTCCTCCTCCGAAGATGAAGTGGAACCTTCGTCACTAGAAGGTTCTCCCCTAACAGGCGCTCTGGGTTTCCTCACTCGAGGAGTGGGAACCGGCCTCTCTGGTGGCTTGGGTGGAGCTGTGTCCATGTGCAGGTAACCTATGGGTAAGAGAAGGTTCCTATGGAGAGTTCTTGTTCTTCCCTCCCCGTTTTCCCTCCGTACCACATAGGAAGGTATTCCAGGATGAGGCTGCTCTATCACGATGTAAGGATCTTCTTCCCATCGGTTGGCCAGCTTATGTCTTCCTTCAAAGGCGACTATTTTGACAAGCACCCTATCTCCCACATTCAGTACAGCTTCGCGGACCCGCTTGTCGTAGTTGTTCTTCTGACTGGCTTTGGCCTGGTCGGAATGAGCTACTGCCAACTCATAGGCATGCCGTAGTCGCTGACGCAGGTCTTCGGCATACTGAGAAACGGTACCACCTTCTTGCTCACTCCCGACACCAAACGCAAGATCGACAGGTAATCTGGGGTTCCGTCCAAACATAAGGAAGTAAGGGCTCTGTCCTGTTGATTCCTGGCGGGTACAGTTGTACGCATGTACCATACTTGAAACATGAGCTTTCCAGTTAATCTTCTGCTCAGCTGACAGTGTCCCCAACATTCCAAGTAAAGTACGGTTAAACCGTTCACAGAGCCCATTTCCCACAGGATGGTAAGGGGTAGTATGGGACTTTTCAACTCCAGTGATCTTGCAGAGTTCCTTCAAGATGTTGCTTTCGAAGTTGGGTCCTTGATCTGAATGTATCCTACGGGGAAGACCATAATGGACCACAAAGTGACTAAAAAATACTTCCGCCGTAGTACGCGCTGTCATGTTACGAGTAGGCACTGCGATGGCGTATCTGGTAAAATGATCTGTCATGACAAGAATGTTCTCGATGCCACCCTTCGATGTTTCCAAGGAAAGAAAATCCATACACACTAGTTCCATAGGTTGGCAAGTTTTGATGGATACTAGCGGCGTGCAGACTCTCGCCGGTGTTTTCCTTAGAAGACACCTGTAACAGTCCTTGATCCATCCCTCCACATCCTTTGTCATTCCTATCCAGAAATACCTGTCCCTCACAAGTGATAGTGTTCTGTCCCGACCCTGGTGTCCGAAGTCATCATGTAGCATGGTGAGGATTTTGGGGATGACAGTTCTTGGAAGGACTATCTGGCTCCTTGCAGTGCCATCATCTATAATATCCCGGCAAAGTACACCATCAATGAGTTTAAACTTCTCAAAGTTCTTCAACATCGCTTGGTGTCCAGTTGCAGATGGCAGATCATGTCTGGCAGGCTTAAGTCCTGACTCCACACACTGAATCCAAAAGCCTGTGAAAGGGTCCTGTAATTGCTCTTCCCTCAATCCCTGAACTGGCTGTAACACTGCAGTCTCTTGTATTTTTCCAAGTGCTTGTGCTGATACAGCAACAGTCTCGATGTAAGGAGTAGCGTTGATGCCCTTGCTTAAAGCCTGTATAATATCCTTGGAGATGACTACTGGCTCCTCATTGGGCAATGTTGGATGACGCGACATCCCGTCAGCATCAGCATTACTCACACCTGGCCTGTACAGGATGCTGAAGTCATAAGCGGCCAAGGCTGCAACCCATCGCTGTGATGTTGCATCCAGCTTGGCGGAGGTAAGAATATATGTTAACGGATTGTTATCTGTATAGACTGTGAATGGGCAAGCGACGAGGTAATCCGAAAACTTGTCCGTGACAGCCCACTTGAGAGCAAGAAACTCCAGCTTGTGTGTGGGGTACCGATGCTCTGCTTTCGTCAATCCTCGACTAGCATAGGCTATAACTCGCTTGACTCCATTCTGTTCCTGGTATAATACAGCTCCTGGTCCAAGTCCCGAAGCATCCGTGTGAAGGGTAAATGGCTTGGTGAAATCCGGATAACTGACGATAGGTGGTCCAGCAAGACAAGTCCTAAGAGCTTGAAATGCCTCCTCCTGTTCCTCTCCCCATACCCATGGGTGTTGGCCCTCTGGTTTCTTCCTGGAGTTCTTCCTCTTCTTCTCAACAGGGTTCATCAGAATGGTCAACGGACGGGCGATGCGAGAGAAGTTCTGGATGAATCGGCGATAGTAGCCAACAAAACCTAGAAATTTCCTGACTTCATCCGAGTTCTCGGGTGTTGGCCACACTGTAATCTTCTCCACCTTCTCTGGGTCTGGCTCAATTCCATCCTCCGAGACTATGTGTCCAACATACTTCACCCTGCGACGAAAGAAGGAGCACTTGTCAGGCGCAAGCTTCATTCCACTTTCCTCCAAAGTCCGAAATATAGCATCAAGTCGATGTAGCTGCTCATCAAAAGATCCAGAGAATATTATGACATCGTCTATATAGATGTAGCAATACTTGGTGTGATACTGATGCAGTACTTCTTCCATCAGTCGCTGGTATGTAGCCGGGGCATTGGCAAGTCCAAAGGGCATGCGGGTGTACTCGTAAAAGCCAAATGGTCCCACAGTAAAGGCAGTCCGTTCCTTGTGCTCCTGTTGGATCTCAACCTGGTGATACCCCGACTTCATATCGATGGTAGAAAAGAACTTATTCCCTGCGAGTGAGTCTAGGATTTCGTCAATACGGGGTAAGGCATAGGCATCCTTCACCGTCCTGTCATTCAATTGACGATAATCGACGCAGAAACGTAATTTGCCATTTTTCTTTCTGACTAGTACCACGTTAGATGACCAAGGGGAGTGGGACCGGCGGATGACTCCAGCAGCCAATAATTGGTGCAGGTGGTTCCTCACCTCATCAAACATCGATGGTGGGATGCGTCTACATCTCTGTTTGAAAGGTACTTCGTTGGTAAGTTCAATCCTGTGCCTCACCGTTGATGTGTGTCCTAAGTCAGTGTCACCTGTAGAGAAGATGTTACGGTGCTTCTCCAGAAACTGTTTCCCTCTGTTGATCTCCTCCTTGGTAAGTCCATCAGTGCAGACTTCAACCTTCTCTAGTACATCTTCTTCGTTATCTCCTATAACATTCCCAGTGTCCTCCACTGTAACAGCCTGCAGCTCACAAAGCAAAGCTTTGGGCTGTATGGTAACTGTGCGTGTAGACATGTTGCTAATGTGGACCTGAACTAATTTCCGCTGGTTGTAATAATACGGCACAAGGGTAGGCACAATATCTAAGTCCTCTGGAATGGCTGACCCTTCAGTATGATGCAACAAAGCACAAACTCGAGGGTAAGGTAAGCACTTATCTGTATATCCATCTATGATGATGTCAGAGTTCGGTTTGATAGTGATAGGTCTGGTCCCAGCACATCTCACCACAGCTAGTCGGTCATGGTGTCGCTCCAACTCTTTTTCCTGTAGCGTCATGCATCGAAATGCTAGGTAGAGCGGAGTCACTAGCCTTGCAGTCTGTAGGAAAGATGCGCCATGCTGGTCCCTGACACGCGTCATGACTTCTGAAAGTACGTTGGTTCCTATTAAAACGGGAACTGTTGTATTGTAGGGGCTCTGAGGGACAACTAAAAATATTCCCTTCATGATCTTGTTCTTATCTCCTAATCCAGTTCCGTTGAACTCCAGGTCAGTCTCAATGTAGCCTTCATAGGGTAGCATTTGTCCATCAGCGCACTCTATCTTCAAGATGGTATGCAATGGCTTTAACTCCAAGTGATGGAGATGCTGCTTGTAGAAAGCGTAGCTTATGGTAGAGACTGTAGATCCAGTGTCCAAAAGTGCTTTTGCAGGTAAATTTTCAATGGTCACTGAAATCTCGGTGGGTGAACCAACTAGGTCTGCAGGCCTACGTTTCGTCGCATGCTGCATAAAGTTTGTCCCTCTTGTCTCTAGACCTGACGTTTGCCCCTCCTCGCAGGTCTGTTGGCGTTTAAAGGATGTCCGGTCCTTCTATCTACATGTGCTCGGCAACCAACAGCTATATGTCCTGGCTGGCCACATCGGAAACATGTAGGCTCCCCTTCAGCAGCTGGAACAGCGTCCACTCTCTGGGTCGTATGGTCCAGATTCTGATAGAAATTCCGTTGCTGATCAGAATACTGCTGTGAAGACTGTTGACGACCATGATTGGGCCCTGTCCCCTGGTTCCTCTTCTTATCCTTAGCGGTCTGGGTCTTCAAGGTATTGACATCAGTTGTCAGCTGCTTTATCAGTCCTTTAATCTCTCCAAGGTCCAAGGATGTAGTCTCTACAGCCGACTTAGAAGTCCCCGGACGTGACTTGGCCCCTTTCTCCTCCGAACGAGAAGCATGGTCCTGTTCAACACGACGTATGGAAATCCGAAGCCTGTCGAAATCGGTGATGCGTTCGTACAAGTGTCCAGTAGAATCCTTAAGATGTGGAACAAGTCCTGTCCAGAAAACAGTCCGCAGCATGGAATTCTTCTTAGACTCCTCCAAGTGGTTGTGCTCACATGCCTTGGCCAAGAGCCCCTCTACTCGGCAACTCCATGATGAAACATCCTCATCTGTTTGTTGTCTGGCACTGTAAAAGTTGGCAAATAACATCTCGGACTGTTCCACAACTCCATAAACACTATCCATTTTCGCTAGGATATCATCAGGACTAGCATCAGCAGGAAGCCTGGAGCGAACACGGAGTGCCTCTCCCTTCAAAGAACTTCTGATGGCTTGTGCAATGGCGTGCTGGGGATGGCCCTCCTTCTTGATGCATTCCACCTCGCTTCTCCACACATCATAAGGTGAATCCTTCTTAGCATCTCCAGAAAAGTGAGTAATTTTCGGGAAATGTTGGATTGCAGAAGTTGGGTAAGTCTGGTTGATGACATGTTCCTTACTGTCAGTCTCTTCTGCATTGGCTTTAGAATAATCAGACATCCAATTCCTAAAGTCTTGCAAGGTATCCATCTTCGGTTTCACATTCAAAGTCTTGAAGTGGCTAACCAGCTTTGCAACTTCATCTTCGCTAAAGTCTGACATGTTGGAGGTAATAAACACAAACAAAAAATAAAAAATAAAAAAATATCAAGACAGTCCAGCTATAAAATAATTTGAAGTGCTACTATGAAGCAAACTACCATGCACGAGCAAAGTCCATGGATAAAGTAAGAGTCCTGCTGAAAGAAATATCAAAAGTCCACACAAAAACCCACAAAAGTTCAAAAGTCCATCTGAAAAGAAAATTCAAAAGTCCATCTGAAAAGAAAATTCAAAAGTCCATTTGAAAAGAAAATTCAAAAAGAAAATAAACGAAAACACAATCAAAATCCAGATAAATCGAACTTACAAGATTGAGATGTAAGAAAATTAGAAACGAAAATATACAAAGGAAATAGAAATGCAAAGAAAACACATACAAAAAGTATTAAGTAAATAACGACAAAAATCTGAAAATAAGAATGCTAATTCTCCACACTTACCAATAAATACATTTGGAGCCCGGGTCCGACCATTGTCCACTTGCCAGACAGACAGCAGTTTTATAGCCCGAGTAGCCTGTAGGACATGAAAGGTACCGGATGACCCCCACAGGAGTCATGGTTGGTGAAACGTCATCAGCGTCCGAATCATTTGAGTCATATGGAGGAGAACCCCATGCTGAAACATACAATGTTATCAATTTGAACATAGGCTGGACACATTATCACATGGCAGCGGCGTCAAGGATGTGAGTACTAGAGCGGCCCCCAAGAGTGTAAGTATCATACTACAGCGGCGTCAAGGATGTGAGTATCATACTACAGCGGCGTCAAGGATGTGAGTATCATACTACAGCGGCGTTAAGGATGTGAGTACTAGAGCGGCCCCCAAGAGTGTGAGTATCATACTAGAGCGACGTCTAGAGTGAGTATCATACTACAGCGGCGTCAAGGATGTGAGTATCATACTATAGCGGCCCCCAAGAGTGTAAGTATCATACTAGAGCGACGTCTAGAGTGAGTATCATACTACAGCGGCGTCAAGGATGTGAGTATCATACTACAGCGGCGTCAAGGATGTGAGTATCATACTATAGCGGCCCCCAAGAGTGTAAGTATCATACTGGAGCGGCCCCCAAGAGTGTAAGTATCATACTAGAGCGACGTCTAGAGTGAGTATCATACTACAGCGGCGTCAAGGATGTGAGTATCACAGCGGCGTCAAGGATGTGAGTATACTACAGCGGCGTCAAGGATGTGAGTATCATACTACAGCGGCCCCCAAGAGTGTAGTATCATACTACAGCGGCGTCAAGGATGTGAGTATAATACTACAGCGGCGTCAAGGATGTGAGTATCAAGGATGTGACAGCGGCGTCAAGGATGTGAGTATCATACTACAGCGGCGTCAAGGATGTGAGTATCATACTACAGCGGCCCCCAAGAGTGTAAGTATCATACTACAGCGGCGTCAAGGATGTGAGTATCATACTACAGCGGCGTCAAGGATGTGAGTATCATACTACAGCGGCCCCCAAGAGTGTAAGTATCATACTACAGCGGCGTCAAGGATGTGAGTATCATACTACAGCGGCGTCAAGGATGTGAGTATCATACTACAGCGGCGTTAAGGATGTGAGTACTAGAGCGGCCCCCAAGAGTGTAAGTATCATACTAGAGCGGCCCCCAAGAGTGTGAGTATCATACTACAGCGGCGTCAAGGATGTGAGTATCATACTACAGCGGCGTTAAGGATGTGAGTACTAGAGCGGCCCCCAAGAGTGTAAGTATCATACTAGAGCGGCCCCCAAGAGTGTGAGTATCATACTAGAGCGACGTCTAGAGTGAGTATCATACTACAGCGGCGTCAAGGATGTGAGTATCATACTACAGCGGCGTCAAGGATGTGAGTATCATACTATAGCGGCCCCCAAGAGTGTAAGTATCATACTACAGCGGCGTCAAGGATGTGAGTATCATACTACAGCGGCGTCAAGGATGTGAGTATCATACTACAGCGGCGTCAAGGATGTGAGTATCATACTACAGCGGCGTCAAGGATGTGAGTATCATACTATAGCGGCCCCCAAGAGTGTAAGTATCATACTACAGCGGCGTCAAGGATGTGAGTATCATACTACAGCGGCGTCAAGGATGTGAGTATCATACTACAGCGGCGTTAAGGATGTGAGTATCAAGAGTGTAAGTATCATACTAGAGCCCCCAAGAGTGTGAGTATCATACTACAGCGGCGTCAAGGATGTGAGTATCATACTACAGCGGCGTTAAGGATGTGAGTACTAGAGCCCCCCAAGAGTGTAAGTATCATACTAGAGCGGCCCCCAAGAGTGTGAGTATCTAGAGCGACGTCTAGAGTGATCATACTACAGCGGCGTCAAGGATGTGAGTATCATACTACAGCGGCGTAAGCGGCCCCCAAGAGTGTAAGTATCATACTAGATGCGACGTCTACTACAGCGGCGTTAAGTATGTGATACTACAGCGGCCCCCAAGAGTGTGAGTATCATACTAGAGCGACGTCTAGAGTGAGTATCATACTACAGCGGCGTCAAGGATGTGAGTATCAAGGATGTAAGTAGTATCATACTACAGCGGCGTCAAGGATGTGATATCATACTACAGCGGCGTCAAGGATGTGAGTATCATACTATAGCGGCCCCCAAGAGTGTAAGTATCATACTACAGCGGCGTCAAGGATGTGAGTATCATACTACAGCGGCGTCAAGGATGTGAGAATCATACTACAGCGGCGTCAAGAATGTGAGTATCTACTAGAGAGACGTCAAGGATGTGAGTATTTACTAGAGAGACGTCAAGGGTATAAGTATTTACTAGAGAGGCGTCAGGGTGTGAGTATCTACTAGAGAGGCGTCAAGGGTGTGAGTATCTACTAGAGAAACGTCAAGGGTGTGAGTATTTACTAGAGAGACATCAAGGGTATGAGTATCGACTAGAGAGGCGTCAAGGGTGTGAGTATCTACTAGAGAGACGTCAAGGGTGTGAGTATCTACTAGAGAGACGTCAAGGGTGTGAGTATCGACTAGAGAGGCGTCAATGGTATGAGTATCTACTAGAGAGACGTCAGGGGTGTGAGTATCTACTAGAGAGACGTCAAGGATGTGAGTACCGACTAGAGGGACGTCAAGGGTGCGAGTATCTACTAGGGATGTGTCAAAATTGTTATTTTCATATATTGTCATTTCCGATGTATAATGTCTTCTGGATCATACCAACAAAATTGATGTTTACAACTGGGTAAACGTCAAATCTGGCGCGTAGGAATCCGGACTGCTGTACACTTATTGTGAATCCACTTTGTGTTTGTTCTAATCTAATATGTTTGTGATTTTTTTTGTATAATCTAGAAAATGACAAGCAATATGTAACTGTAAATGGAAATATTTGAAAATGTTAGCAAAAAAAGTAATAAAAAGATGACTATTATTGAACTACTGTCTGTTTACTTCCCTTTCTTGACAGATTTTCCAGTAAGAAATGGAATCAGCTGTTTTGTTATTCCATCAATGGTCGGGCTGTTCCGTCAGTGGGTATAACATCCAATGAACGAAGATTATTATTATTATGGAGAGTCAATAAAGGAAAACATGCTTCAAAATATAAATAGAAGAATTCTTCTTCTTTTCGGAGGGGATGTATATTGGTGTGTAAACTGCGTTTTTAAGAGTGACAGGACCCAGCGAACGCAGCCAGTAGCCTGACCAAACGAACGCAGGAAAACTGTTAAGTGCAGGCAAATTCCTGATACACACTATCTACAGCGATATTGTGACGACTCTAATGCTTGAACGAATGTGCATATACATATCTGTATCATATTTATGTGTTATTTAAAAACAGGTATTTGATATTGTTTTTTTTATATCAATGCACAAATATGTATGTCTGAATTAATTATATGCAGCTGTATGGATATAGGGAGAATACAGAAAATAATCAGCACTAAAATTGGAGTCAAATTTCGGTTACGTCCGTATAATATCGAGGTATCATGTTATCAAATGCATGTATATAGAGTTAATTTTACAACCATATCAATTTGTGAGGTATATCTTATACATGTATATGCATGCATTTATCTACGAACTAGATAATAAATTTAGCATTAGTTACAGTGCTTAAAACATATTATTATTACATAAATATATTTGTGCATGTATGTTACATGTAACAGCGAGACCAAAGTTTAAATGTTGGGTAAATGGTGATATAAGAAAACATATGAAAATCTGAAATAAATTGCACAAGGTATTCACAGATCGAAGAACGGAGTTATCCCTAGCAAATTATTTTTTTTTTACAAAAACCAGAACTAAGGTAAGCAACATGATTAAGTATGCGCGGCAGCTTTTTAATGACAGTATTGATGTTTTCTTCCAAAAGGGGGACAATAGTCCAAGGTCTTACTGGAAGATTATGAGAATGTGAATCAAAGATAACTTAGATACTGATATTCAACCGTTCTGTGATGATAGATTTAGTGAAATAATATTTGATACTAATGATAAATGTGATATTTGGAATAGCTATTTTCAGTTTGTTACTAATCTTGATGACTCTAATGAATCCTTGATGTATTTTGAAAAACAAACAAACAAACTCTAGTGTTAGTGAAGTACAAGTCACTAACAATAGTAGATACTATTCAAATTTTAAAAGTAATCAAAGCTGACTGCCCATACAGAATAAGTACTGGCGTAGGCAATTGTCCCAGAGGTGACTTTTGTGAAACGTGTAAATTCGTTGAGTTTTTATACAAAATACGCTCAAAATGCAGGAAATGGAGCCAAAATTAAAAAAAAAATTTGGGGGGAATCGCCAAAGATTCGCGCCAACTTTAGATCCTGGCTACAAGATGAAAAGACTAGTTTGATCGTTTGATGTACACCAAACGAATCTCAAGGTCGCATAACACGGTATATTGTGATTGCTTTGAAGTTGGGTGTCGCTCCTTTGTAATCTTCAAAAGATATGTATCAGCCTGCAATTGATCATATTGTGATTGCTTTGAAGTTGGGTGTCGCTCCTTTGTAATCTTCAAAAGATATGTATCAGCCTGCAATTGATTAGTTTTTTTCTCCTCGACCCTATCAAATTACTTCGGTAGTGCTTTCAATTTTACCATAGGTTCCGTAGGTGCAGAGAACGAAAGAGATAGCAACTCCTGGTGTATGGAGGCTGATTATAGAGAGGATACTGATAGCTTGTGATAACCTGCGTCCGATCCATTTATATATTACACAATATAACGGGTATAAATTCAAAAAATCTATTATTTGTGAGAGTTAAACAAGGGGTGTAAATCGAGGTAAAAACAATCCATTCTAGTGAAAAGTCAACTTTTTGTATGAGATAAAATCAAGAAGATAATGTCTATAAAAAAGTACATCAAAGCAACTTGTGCACCTGAATTAAAAAAATGAATATCATTATATAGGTATAGTGAAATTTTACCTGTTACAACACACACCCGGGATGCGGACGTCAGACGCACACATGTAGAGTACTCTGGACAGTTATGGTCTTGGCATGTTCCCATCAAAGATTCATCCTATTAAATATTAGAAATAAAGTTAATCTGATATAAATTTTTTATTCCTTTTAATCGGTAAAAATGTACACTTGGATGCCATCGGCACTCCACTGAATATCTTGAACGTTTAAGCATGTGTATGTAAATTAACGATTAATCCAACTGTAGTTATCAAAATGGTAAATCAAGAACACGACTTTTCTGATTCATCTGCTGACTTAGACGTTTCCGGCAACAACAGTAGTTATTTCTTTTTCCTGTTGTGAACTTTCCATTTCTAGATTGTAAATAGACTGCATCCTCAGCAGTGTTCTAGGTCTTGTTCCCAGTTTCACAACATCCGTAAAAAGACGGCAACAACTAAGAGATAACTTCACACCACCGGGCTTTCCGAGGGATTGAAGCTGGTGTGGAGTTTGGGGGAATTTTATGGTCATCACAAAAAGCTCATTCATTTTTGGATATGAGTTGGATGTGTTTGGTGGTCGTTATCAAACCCGGTGGCTTCCTTGTTGTTAACCTTGTTCTCATGTAAGAACGTGACCTTACTACATGAATTGATATATTTACATGGCTAGAGTCGTCGAGGAAGCAGAAGACGTTTACTTTTCCGAAACACCTGATCTTATTCTCCTCGTATTTATAAGGAGATTCAGTGCAATGCTTTGCCGATACTTTGCCTTTACTTAATCAAATTTTTGTTGACATGTTGGTATTTTATTTCTTTCTTTCTGTTAGTACACATGGTAGTCGCCATGTGAACTTATTTCCATTTTAGAACCTGACATTACTTTCCTAGATTGATCATGATTTCTTGCATGGCAGTTGTCTTCGACGATGTTGCAGACGCTTACATTTCCGAAAAAAATATGGTCTTATTCTCATTGTAATTATTTCTGTAAACCGTTTTTGTTCATATTTTCCCTTCATTTTATTTAAAACGATTTGAATTTGAATCAAATTGTGACTATGTTGTGAAATACACATGTTTATTTGTATCTAACTCCCACGGTGTTCTCTTCACTATGATAAGGATTGCGTTAAGGTGTCAAGTCACATTAATTAGAACTGGAACGTATGTATACTAATTACAGTCCTGTATAATTTGTGTGAAGGAAAGGTTGTTTTCGATAAATCATGATCTCTGAATGCCGATTCCTCTTTAAACTATTCAGGTATCTTGAAACTGAGGCATAATACTTTAGAAATATTGTTATATGATAAAAACTGACATACCGAAACAGCTGTGGCCCCGTTTCCATAGATAGACCCGGACTTTGCTTGAAATTGTCCTGGTGCCGTGCTGGAATCGTCTTCGATAAGTCGACATCGTAAATCTGTTATGCTGAATGTGAAGGATTGACATCCCGATTCCAAACCACAATGTCGAGCACAGTCATACAAACCAACCTCACTGATAGACTTAAATCCCGTACTGGATAAATAAAAGTTACGCTGGAAGTGGGGTACATTAAGTTGTATTCCATGGGTTAGTGTCAAAATAGAAAATATCATTACCGATGTACTTAATGACATGTCTCCAGGATACAGGTTTCCTGTCAATTCCTTATGTACCGTCTATGTAAGGATAAAAGTTTACTGTTAACTCTTATGTACCGTCTATGTAAGGATATAGGATCCCTTTGAACTCCCTATGTATCGTCTATGTAAGGATAGAGGTTCCTTGTGAACTCCCTATGTATCGTCTATGTAAGGATAGAGGTTTCCTGTGAATTCCTTATGTACCGTCTATGTAAGGATAAAAGTTTACTGTGAACTCTTATGTACCGTCTATGTAAGGATATAGGTTCCCTGTCAATTCCTTATGTACCGTCTATGTAAGGACAGAGGTTTCCTGTGAACTACATATGTACCGTCAATGTAAGGACAGAGGTTTCCTGTGAATTCCTTATGTACCGTCTATGTAAGGATAAAAGTTTCCCGTGAACTGCATATGTACCGTCTATGTAAGGATAAAGGTTTCCTGTGAACTCCTTATGTACCGTCTATGTAAGGATAAAGGTTTCCTGTACCGTCTATGTAAGGATAGATGTTCTCTGTACCGTCTATGTAAGGATAGAGGTTCCCTGTGAACTCCCTATGTATCGTCTATGTAAGGATAGAGGTTCCCTGTGAACTCCCTATGTATCGTCTATGTAAGGATAGAGGTTTCCTGTGAACTCCCTATGTATCGTCTATGTAAGGATAGAGGTTCCCTGTGAACTAGTTGATAACGATATGAACCAATTGTGTAATATTTACAAAGTAATGTTGACAGATATTAATGACAAGGATGTGCTGATGACCATCTATTAAATGCTACATAGCTAGTGAATAAATAAAACATGGTTTAGTATCAAAATATTCTACTTTGAAATTCTGTTAAGAGAATCAATACAGATGTACGGTTCAGATCCATGAGTTATGAAGATTGCTATTGTCTTCTGTTCCCGATGTGTCGAATACCAACATTTTAGCTAATGTAATGAGGATATTATCTGAGAGTTACTTATTTACATACTTGCTGTCTGATGTTAACATTATAAAGTGTTCTTTCCGTAACGTTTTATTTTCTTGTTGTTAGGACAGAAGGGTCATGATGGTTACATGGCCTATCGTGTTTCGTTCATCGCCGTACACAGTATATCATGCGTCAACGTTTCACATTTCAAACATCTAAAGTTCCATCACGGGAATTTATTTCGTTCTTACCTAAACTAATCCTGAGATTGTCTTGACCAGGTCCAGCCATAATTCAGGGCGGTCTGAAATCCAATATGACCACCGTAACGAACACATTTCCAAATTATTCCCAAGTTTCACCAGCGGAATTCAACTCAAGCTTACCTTGAATGACCTGAGGTGGTCCAGACATCCAATACGGCCACCCTGGCTACCATCTCCAAATCTCTCTTTTAAACCTCATTCCCAGTTCCAGTGGTACCGATGAGCTGAACATTTTTGGGAATAATTATCAACTAATCTTAAAAGTCTTGTTGGTTTTGTTCCCTAAACCGTTAAAGCCCCAATATACGTAAAAATCACTTTAAAAACACAAACTTTATCTTATTTTCCCCGTAATATATGTAACAAAACAGATACTTTCCTTTAATTAAAGAAAATAAAACTGACTGTTTTCAATTTAAATAAAAATTGAAAAAATCGGAAAATAAACAATGTGGGACCCACAATAATTCATATATTACCGATCGTAGCGATGACATTGCGCATGCGCATATTCCGCGTTTGTAAACATGGCAGACACAGTGCAGACGTTCACCAGTCGCTTCCATTTTTTCCAATCATTCATCAGGCCAATTCTAAATTTTTACATTATAATTGTGCGTCGTATCGTTTCTAAACTAATTATTCCTTCTAATAATTTCCTAAAAACTGAATGTTTATCACAGGAATACCTCAAGTCTTCGCAAACAATGTTTGTAAACAAAAACTTACCGTAGACATATCTGCATGTGCTTCCTCTATAAGTAGAAACCTCAACTCTCGCGAGATCAGGTCATGAACTTTCGGACGTGGTTCGGCAACAATCGTAATTTCGATGACGGCGTGTTTAAAATGGGGGTGTGTTTACAAATAGCGAGTTTCAACTGTTCATATATCAATATTTTATGCACAAAATCATGGTAACTATTGTTTGAATAACTTAATTTTAACTACATCTTAGAGAATATCTCAATAATTATGTGTGATTCTACACTAAATTTTTGGTGAATATTACGTATATTGGGACTTTAATATATCCAAACTTGTTTTTGAATATGATAATTGTTCCCACTGCCCTTACTACTATTGTAAACCCTGTGGGTCTTTACAAAGTCAGACGTCTTGAGTTGTGTAGGATTTGATTGGAATCAGTGTATGCTAGTTTGCTATCAGGGAATTGCGATTTGGTTTTGTTTTTTCCTACAAGGCACTTTTTCACCAAATAAAGAAAGCTGCAGTTTGTAGTCTTAAGGACACCTAACGTCGTACTACAGAACCATTGTTGTTATTTGCTCGATGTTATTTGTCTGAACTTTGTACAAAGCTCATTTTTAATAATATTGCGTTCATTTATTTCACTATTCTTCTTTTTCTATATAGAGTGTTTAATTATTTTGCGAAGATAAAGCTGATATTTTTGTTTTCGGTTACTTTTGAAAATCCTGGAGACTTACTTGAAATATCGATGTAAAACTAATAATTACACCAATTCAGTTCAGATAACCGCAGCACTCCGGCAATTCCCCTATTGATGACAGGACAGAGGGTATGGTATATGTCACTCTCATTTGGTACTACTACACTTAATCCATTGCTTCTGTATGACTAGCAAACATTGCAAACTTTCAGCACGTACTTATTCTACATCCTGTAATACTTTCGTCAGTCTGGACACTTTGTTACCGTGGATCTATACATTCTCCTTTAAAAACTTCACAACATGTACGGGAGCATTATGTTTCATGCAGACTTCTGCGATTAAATGGAGTTTTTATTTCAATACAATATTACGATGGGTATTCAAAGGAAGATTAAGTAAGTGGGTGTAATATAATGTTGTTCCCTTGACTTCGATCTTACCGAGTTTTCCCTTTCGTTGTATGCACCCAGTCGATAGTTAAATAAATTTACAGAACCGGAAGTACTTTTTCTTTTTTAAAAAAAGCATGCTCAAAAATGCACTCCTAAAGTGTATAAAATGTTTGGATCCAGCTGTCTCTTATATATCATGAAATTACCAAGACATGTTAACTAATTAACGAGTTCTACTGGGGATAAAAATGTCAGTATCTGGTATAGTCACCATGTTTCTGATACGATTATTGTGCCCGTCGTCTCATACAATTGCCCAAGCACGGGGACTTGTTCTGTGGAAACCTCTGCCCCGAATCAATACAGTCAGTATTTCTCCAATTATTTGGACAGTTTTGATCCCGTGCATTGACTATTTTAATGAGATAGGTCCACATATACTCAAACAGGTTCATGTGTGATGACATTACGGGCTACTGGAGCTTGTTGATCACTTCTGTTTGAAGATTGGCTTGCATTAGTCGGGCTCTGTGTGATTTGGCATTGCCTTCCATTAGGCTGATCTGTCAATAGATGGGCATCGATATGCAGAACAACTAAACGTCGAGGGATCTAATTATGATACTTCTGCTATTTAAATTCTATCAATAACATACAAGCGAAACTTAGTTTAGATAAAAGCATCCACCAACAGTAACATTGCCTTATCCAAATGTGTCCAGAATGTGATTCTGATAGTACACCGAATTTTTGGTCTGCCGTTTGTCGGACTAAGTAAAAATAAGCTTTCATCAGAAAAATGGATGTACAACAGCACGAAACACAAAGAAAGACTGCCAGGAGTACTACAAGATTTATTTCACAAAAACGAATAATCAGTTTTGATTACAATTTTCAAACTGAAATTGATGGTCCTTTTGTTTATGACATGTCTATGTTTCCTTATACGATATAAAGTTTGCAGCTCGCCAGTAAACATGATTGTTACGGTGTTCTTTAACATTATTCTCGTGTGAGAATGTGACATTACATACGTGGATTGACCAATATTTATATGGCGGCTGTCGTCGATGAAGTAGAAGTCGTTTACTTTTCTGGAACACGTGGTCTTATTCTTCATTCTTCTTGCACTTTTTCACGAGTCTCGTATATATTATATCATATATTTGGCCATGTATTTATTGACTTTGACTTTGGATTGTGATTATGCTGACATGTTGGTATTCTATATAGTACCTTTGAACGCATACAGCCATAAAATGTGAGAAAAGGAGGGGGAGGCATGCAGCCATAAAATGTGAGAAAAGGAGGGGGAGGCATACAGCCATAAAATGTGAGAAAAGGAGGGGAGGCATACAGCCATAAAATGTGAGAAAAGGAGGGGGGGGGGTAATATAAAGATGGAAATACTTAAGAATAGTTCATCGTATGTTTGATAACATAAAATCATATTATTTTAAGATTGTAAAGGAAAACATCTTTTGTCCATTCTTTATTTAATTTGGCGATAGGTTTCCCCAAAACAGATATCCACAAAGTATTTCAACAGTATTGTGAATAAAAAAACCCCGTAATTTTCAGCAAGAGGACAGGCCTACAATTTTGTAATGCAAGGACAAGTTTTAGCAACAACAGAGACGTTGAAGTATTTAGGTACTACTTTTTAATATAAGTGTTATATACAGATTGGTAAAACATGGAACTTTGCCGAAAAGCTGGAACAGATGAAATTGACGCAGATGGAGAAGTAGACAATGGAAAGTCTCTGTTGTGTCAGAGATAACAAGCAATAAGAGTTACCTTATTTCGATAACAAAATAAATGACGTGATAGCGCAAATGGCGTATGTGTACGTAAATATTAAAATAATGATAAATGGAGAGTTCGAGTGTCATTCTATGTAGGCAGTAAACACAAAGATTAGATGATATAAGACGGATATAAAAACGAATTTCAAATGTTCACAAATTGAAATCAGCTGTACATAAGTTTATCAATGAGTTCAAATAATGATATAATTAGCATGTTGGTATTTCTTCTCTTTTGTTGTTGTGGATTTCCATACACTTTCTTGATATTTCTAAAGAATTTCAATTAAGCTACAGAGAAATACTTCGCTATGGCTTCAATTGCGATTTACTAGAAATTTTGTGATTATGGATTCACGGAATAGAAATATGTCCTGATATATTTGTGTAAAGCTTGAACTTTTCAGAAAGTCCGGACATAACCTCACATTGATCTGATCCAAGGCATATCACAAGTAATTGCGGGTATAGTGCACAATCGACGATGCGTGATAGACATTTGTCAAATTATCAGTAAAGTATCACACGTTCAGAAAAAGTTTTACATAAATAATCTTAACTTTGTATTTCTGAATGTCTACGTAACATTATCAAACAGCCAATGGTCAGATAAAAATATCATTAATATGTACAACTTATTTTCAAGGTACAAAAATGTACTTGTAAATAATAAACATTCTGTAGACTAGTTCCGTACACACGTAGCTAGCATGCACTTTCTCTGAGCCTTCAGATATTCACAAATATCTTTTGGAACTGCTTTTTAATCACTGTTGGCTGCCTTCAGCGATATTGATAAAACATTACTTTATATGGATTCACGTCATCACAGCAACAATTAATGACGATGTGACACTTCTGTAGTGCTGTATTATAATGACATTATGTATTTCGTCGTATCTATTGACTCGGTATTAATCTAGATTGTACTTACGGAAGTGTAGATGTATTCTAGATCACAATAACAAAACGGCATTTTGGCTTCACATTGCCCTGCATTACATAAACGTTTGCACCTCGCTTCAGGTAACATACATAATAGCTTCACACAAATTGTTTCGACAGTTATGAACTTATGTAGCTCTTCCAGTAAATAACCATACTAGTATTTAAACATTGATAAATGTTCCAGTATAATGACAGTAGTGAGATTACCTTTCCATTTCATACGATTTATAGTTTGATTGGGGATTTTTACAAGATTCATTTCCGTATGTAATAGAAAAGACATATTCTACTTGTCATAAAACTTAGAGAGGGACGCATTCGAATTGAGCAGCAGACCATATGCCATTACTTTGACATGTGATCTGCATATTTCCTGGGTTTGAAGACGCCGTGTTACTGTGACAATAAAACGTCACGGTGTTTGGGTAAGTAAACTGGGAATACACCATGCCGCTAACTCTGGCCGGAGTAGGTGGGTATCCACAACCTGGAAAAAAAAGGCAAAAGAAACTCATTGTTTAGAGTTTTCGTGTTTTTGATTGTTTTGAAAAATCTCATACAGTACTTCCTTACAAAATGTTTACCCAGTTTGCATCCCTATGTAAAAAGCTAATGGACTTACTTAAATCGGTGATCGAACACGAAATGGATTCAACGTTAAATAACCCTTTCTACGAACTAGATATTTTTTACTCGCTTGGAATGAAAGGTGTATGTTTTATGCAAACGAATAAACATTGTGATATGTTTAAATAAATTATTGTATTAAATTTACTCTAGAAAACTTAGTGATTAGAAACAGCGATGAACGAAACAAAAGAATTGAAAGGAATACCGGATGAATACTCTATTGAAATGAGATATCAACACTTAATGTTATTTACAGGAATAACGGTACACTATTGAAATGAGATATCAACACTTAATGTTATTTACAGGAATAACGGTACACTATTGAAATGAGATATCAACACTTAATGTTATTTACAGGAATAACGGTACACTATTGAAATGAGATATCAACACTTAATGTTATTTACCGGAATAACGGTACACTATTGAAATGAGATATCAACACTTAATGTTATTTACAGGAATAACGGTACACTATTGAAATGAGATATCAACACTTAATGTTATTTACCGGAATAACGGTACACTATTGAAATGAGATGTCAACACTTAATGTTATTTACAGGAATAACGGTACACTATTGAAATGAGATATCAACACTTGATGTTATTTACCGGAATAACGGTACACTATTGAAATGAGATATCAACACTTGATGTTATTTACAGGAATAACGGTACACTATTGAAATGAGATATCAACACTTAATGTTATTTACCGGAATAACGGTACGCTATTGAAATGAGATATCAACACTTAATGTTATTTACAGGAATAACGGTACACTATTGAAATGAGATATCAACACTTGATGTTATTTACAGGAATAACGGTACACTATTGAAATGAGATATCAACACTTGATGTTATTTACCGGAATAACGGTACACTATTGAAATGAGATATCAACACTTGATGTTATTTACAGGAATAACGGTACACTATTGAAATGAGATATCAACACTTGATGTTATTTACAGGAATAACGGTACACTATTGAAATGAGATATCAACATTTGATGTTATTTACAGGAATAACGGTACACTATTGAAATGAGATATCAACACTTAATGTTATTTACCGGAATAACGGTACACTATTGAGATGAGATATCAAAATTTGAGGTTATTTACCGGAATAACGGTACACTATTTAGCTTTTTATTGATATAAAATATGTGGATATTTGGCAGGTGTGGTCACCTTTAATATGTTGTACCTGAATGTTAACCTTTATCAGACATTTCACTGACTTAAATAGAAATAAGAATTTCCCGTTGTATTATTCGTAATGTTTAATATAATTGAAACGTAAATTATTTCAATTCAACAAAATTGTATTACAAACAAAATACAAAACAAAACAACATAAAAAGGCATTAGAAAAAGTCTACAAACCTTTCCTCATAACTGGGATATGTGCATAATGTTTTTTCCTGGTTAGTATCATTGATATAACTTTTAAAGGGTTAAAACCATTCCAATCCTTACCCCCAAATACTAATATTTGAAAGTTTTTTCTGAAATTTGTTTTTTTAATAATATTACTATTCAATAATTTTACTTAAGAGTGTATCCTAAACAAACTATTTTATCTCACTTGTAACGCTATCAGTTATAACATTAGGATATAAATAAAAAGGAACCTCGGTTAGCACGTGTTGTTTTCTATCTCAAAAGTAATTTTGCAAACCAACTCAGCATGTTTCCTTTAATACCATAGGATTCTGCTTTATAGCCCTTCCTGCAACACTCTATCAAACACTTTACTTGTGTCACATAATACAAAGTGAAGTCCTTAATCAAGAAAATCCATTATCGTATGATATGTAGGTAACACCATAAGCTCATAATTAAAGCCTTCATAAGGAACTTACTGACTGGGTCGCATGATATATCTAGTTGTCCCCATGTCCCATCTGCATTGCAGTGTCTGTTTCCGGTTCCGGACATTTGATTATAGCCCGTGTCGCAAATGTACTGGATGGTTGACCCTCCAGGGGCAATAGTCGCCGAGGTGTGAGCATCCTGCATGTTGGTTATGATTGAACATTCTGAAAATTTAAGATTTTGAACAGGTCAAGTACATTTAGGATCAACTGTATGCTCTCTTTTCCACCGCTTTGTCTACTTATCGTTGTTTGCGGAATGATTGAATCCGCTTCATAATTGATGTGTTCCCGAAGAGAGATGACAGTATTCGTTTAAGAAATATAGTGGGGAATGATTAAATCTCGTACTCGTAATCAAACAAACATTCGACAGTATGCAGTCCTAGTAGACCAACCTATTAGGATGCACGTTATATCCAATTCCTCCCAAACACCCTGTGTGTTGCAGAGTCTGTTTCCTGTTCCGCCCACTTGTTCATAGCCTGTGTCACATGTGTAGGAGATGATAGAACCTGCAGGTGCGTCTGTCGCCGTGGTTTGCGCTTGCTGCAAGTTCGTTGTGATCACACAGTCTGAAAGGTTAAAACAATTGTCAAGTTTCGTAAAATTTTGAGAAACAATTTTTCTTCTGCGCATGCTTTGTCCATACGGATGTACCGATTAATGACTACACAGACAGTTAAAGAACAAACAACAGCGACTGAAGCTTTGAGGGGGTACATCGGACGGAATTTATCATCAATATTGTTTATGAGTGAAATTTAACTTCCTAACCATTTTTAAGCTGCTATAATCAGTTGCCTTAAATGACCTCCGACGCACACAAAAAAAGTTCAAACAGTTTTGTGCACCTATGAAAATAATACACAGGAATTGTATCACTTCTAAAATTATTTACCCGGTATGCACACAAAATCCGGTGTCGACCATTTTCCATTACTTCTGCAGTGTATGGCAGTGGAATCATTTGCAGTAGTCCCGGCATTGCACTGGTATGTCCTACTTGACCCTATAGTCTTACTACCGGAAGACACACTTGCACTAGATACACCTGGTGGGTTTCCACAATCTGAAAACGAATCAAAATTGTCTTAAATGCGAGATGGTATGATCGTAGATCATCTGGAAATTTCATAGGCATTGAAATTAGGCTTGTTCAACATTAAATATCTTACTGGTAATCTGGACTATATATAAAACACTCCTAAATATTACGTCGAGTCAATTAGATTGTAGCTGTGTTATCAACACACCAGGACATAGAGATAAGGTGAGCTGGTCTATAAACTAGAAAGTCTGGTATTTAATGTTAATTTTATAATGGTCAATTATCAACATATCTATTTCTAAAACTAAACGAAATTATATGTTTAATCTGCACGTGGCGGCATGAAACGGACCTTTTAATTACATTTCGTAGTGACCGTAACACTTGGGGTTACGATTTCTTATCAATTAGACTTTACGCAACGCACTTGTGCTATCTTGCCGTTATTTTGGTTCTAGATTTACCTTAGTTACTTTATTTGTTTTGTTTTTTTTTCTAAACAGAGACGTTATCTGATTATATTTAGAGTTGGAACTGTCTGTGATGCAAAAGAACCCACAGCCGGTGACGCAATGTGAATATGACATAGTAAGATTTTGGAACCCTGGTATTGAATTAATTAAAAAGAGAATTTAGGGATACACAATGGTGGAGACAAACGCATTTAACCTGTTTTCTCAAAGCTAAAACAGCCAATTGTTTATCTTCCCAGGCAATCAGATACAAGACATTTCCTCCATAGACTTTAAATCATTCAACTGCTGAAAGATTTGGTTTGGGATTGTTCTTTCCGTGTTCTCTTGTACTTTGGCTTATCTACAGTTTACATCAACAATTGTTTTCAATTGTGTTTTCTTTCCATGAATTATTTGCGCACGTCTTAATCCATCTTGTTAAGAGAGAGTTTAGTGCACGGTTTACAGAATCATCTAAAACCATCTTTGCATGTGAAAAGAGCATGTGTTTGTTTCATCCGTTTTTGCATATTCTTACAGTCGAAATACTACTAAAGACAAAAGGCCACGAGGTTTTCATTGTTAAAATATAGATTGTTTGTATCAATACATTGACATTTCATTTTGGTTGATGCGTTCCTAAACTAGTGACTTCATGTAGACAAAGAAAATATGGCCCTCGTCTTGGACCTGGAAACGGCTTTCGATGAAGTACAGCATTTCTTTTTTATGAAAACTCCTCACTGAATCGAAATAAATTGAAATGCAAGACTACTTATGAGTGGGCGTTTAGTGTATAAAGCCAGTATATTTCTACATATAATACTTTATTTATCTCCGCGAAAATTTGCATACCATAGAACAAGACATGTTACTAAAAAGAGAAGATTATTTTTGCGAATTTTGCAATTTATCAAGTATTCATTAAAATACCTGTACAATAGTTTTTCGGGTCCGACCATTGTCCACTTGCCAGACAGACAGCAGTTCTTTGGCCTATGTATCCTGTAGGACAGGTAAGGGACCGGGTGACCCCCACAGGAGTCATGGTAGTTGAAACGTCATCAGCGCCCAAATCTTTTGGGTCATATGGAGGAGAACCACATGCTGAAACATACAATGTCATCAAAATTTTTACTTTTCTTCTTTAAGGCATATTTATAAAACACACGGAGGATTGTGTAAATGACACAGAAGTGAAACATTTAAATACAATTCTCTATAATACATACAGTGTAGCAACATAAGGAATAAGATCATATCGTTTTCCCTTGAAAACGACAATGAAACCAATGCCTCTGAGTGTAGAAACCCTAGCTGTCGTCTGAGGAAAACGATATTTTTCAAACCACTCATTGCATCAGTATGATAAATTACAACACTTATAAACAACCAATTTGATACGACATTATAAATAGTCTTATATCAGAAGAGGGGAATGCTTAGAAGGACATCTTAGATATACAGTAAGTGGTAATTAGGTCGGGGAGGAAAAGGAAGAAGGACGTGTTAAATATACAGTAAGTGGTAATTAGGTCGGGGAGGAAAAGGAAGAAGGACATCTTAGATATACAGTAAGTGGTAATTAGGTCGGGGAGGAAAAGGAAGAAGGACGTGTTAAATATACAGTAAGTGGTAATTAGGTCGGGGAGGAAAAGGAAGAAGGACGTGTTAAATATACAGTAAGTGGTAATTAGGTCGGGGAGGAAAAGGAAGAAGGACGTGTTAAATATACAGTAAGTGGTAATTAGGTCGGGGAGGAAAAGGAAGAAGGACGTGTTAAATATACAGTAAGTGGTAATTAGGTCGGGGAGGAAAAGGAAGAAGGACGTGTTAAATATACAGTAAGTGGTAATTAGGTCGGGGAGGAAAAGGAAGAAGGACGTGTTAAATATACAGTAAGTGGTAATTAGGTCGGGGAGGAAAAGGAAGAAGGACGTGTTAAATATACAGTAAGTGGTAATTAGGTCGGGGAGGAAAAGGAAGAAGGACGTGTTAAATATACAGTAAGTGGTAATTAGGTCGGGGAGGAAAAGGAAGAAGGACGTGTTAAATATACAGTAAGTGGTAATTAGGTCGGGGAGGAAAAGGAAGAAGGACGTGTTAAATATACAGTAAGTGGTAATTAGGTCGGGGAGGAAAAGGAAGAAGGACGTGTTAAATATACAGTAAGTGGTAATTAGGTCGGGGAGGAAAAGGAAGAAGGACGTGTTAAATATACAGTAAGTGGTAATTAGGTCGGGGAGGAAAAGGAAGAAGGACGTGTTAAATATACAGTAAGTGGTAATTAGGTCGGGGAGGAAAAGGAAGAAGGACGTGTTAAATATACAGTAAGTGGTAATTAGGTCGGGGAGGAAAAGGAAGAAGGACGTGTTAAATATACAGTAAGTGGTAATTAGGTCGGGTGGTAGGAAAAGGAAGAAGGACGTGTTAAATATACAGTAAGTGGTAAAGTGGTAATAGGTCGGGGAGGAAAAGGAAGAAGGACATGTTAAATATACAGTAAGTGGTAATTAGGTCGGGGAGGAAAAGGAAGAAGGACGTGTTAAATATACAGTAAGTGGTAATTAGTAAGTGGTAATTAGGTCGGGGAGGAAAAGGAAGAAGGACGTGTTAAATGTACAGTAAGTGGTAATTAGGTCGGGGAGGAAAAGGAAGAAGGACATCTTAGATATACAGTAAGTGGTAATTAGGTCGGGGAGGAAAAGGAAGAAGGACGTGTTAAATATACAGTAAGTGGTAATTAGGTCGGGGAGGAAAAGGAAGAAGGACGTGTTAAATATACAGTTAAATATACAGTAAGTGGTAATTAGGTCGGGGAGGAAAAGGAAGAAGGACGTGTTAAATATACAGTAAGTGGTAATTAGGTCGGGGAGGAAAAGGAAGAAGGACGTGTTAAATATACAGTAAGTGGTAATTAGGTCGGGGAGGAAAAGGAAGAAGGACGTGTTAATATACAGTAAGTGGTAATTAGGTCGGTGAGGAAAAGGAAGAAGGACGTGTTAAATATACAGTAAGTGGTAATTAGGTCGTTAAATATACAGTAAGTGGTAATTAGGTCGGGGAGGAAAAGGAAGAAGGACGTGTTAAATATACAGTAAGTGGTAGGAAAAGGAAGAAGGACGTGTTAAATATACAGTAAGTGGTAATTAGGTCGGGGAGGAAAAGGAAGAAGGACGTGTTAAATATACAGTAAGTGGTAATTAGGTCGGGGAGGAAAAGGAAGAAGGACGTGTTAAATATACAGTAAGTGGTAATTAGGTCGGGGAGGAAAAGGAGGAAGGACGTGTTAAATATACAGTAAGTGGTAATTAGGTCGGGGAGGAAAAGGAAGAAGGACGTGTTAAATATACAGTAAGTGGTAATTAGGTCGGGGAGGAAAAGGAAGAAGGACGTGTTAAATATACAGTAAGTGGTAATTAGGTCGGGGAGGAAAAGGAAGAAGGACATCTTAGATATACAGTAAGTGGTAATTAGGTCGGGGAGGAAAAGGAAGAAGGACGTGTTAAATATACAGTAAGTGGTAATTAGGTCGGGGAGGAAAAGGAAGAACGTGTTAAATATACAGTAAGTGGTAATTAGGTCGGGGAGGAAAAGGAAGAAGGACGTGTTAAATATACAGTAAGTGGTAATTAGGTCGGGGAGGAAAAGGAAGAAGGACGTGTTAAATATACAGTAAGTGGTAATTAGGTCGGGAGGAAAAGGAAGAAGGACGTGTTAAATATACAGTAAGTGGTAATTAGGTCGGGGAGGAAAAGGAAGAAGGACGTGTTAAATATACAGTAAGTGGTAATTAGGTCGGGGAGGAAAAGGAAGAAGGACGTGTTAAATATACAGTAAGTAAGTGGTAATTAGGTCGGGGAGGAAAAGGAAGAAGGACGTGTTAAATATACAGTAAGTGGTAATTAGGTCGGGGAGGAAAAGGAAGAAGGACGTGTTAAATGTACAGTAAGTGGTAATTAGGTCGGGGAGGAAAAGGAAGAAGGACGTGTTAAATGTACAGTAAGTGGTAATTAGGTCGGGGAGGAAAAGGAAGAAGGACGTGTTAAATATACAGTAAGTGGTAATTAGGTCGGGGAGGAAAAGGAAGAAGGACGTGTTAAATGTACAGTAAATGGTAATTAGGTCGGGGAGGGAAAAGAAGTTTTATCATAATTTTCAGAATCAATGCCTTTTATTGACAAAGGCATCGTCAAATGGGATGGTTAATAGGCAAGCTTTTTCAATCATTTTCCTTGGTGGCTTGAGTAGAACGTGTTTATAGAATGATGGGTAGAATTTATAGAAGTCATAAAAAGAATTAAACAACTTAAGGGAGGTAACTCGTAAATGATCACACAACAAGGTTATATTTACTACATAACCTGATCACATATACAGACAAATCCTATATACAAATGACTGTTACTCATCAAATGATGCATGTAAGTTACGTAATTAACTATCAATGTGAAATGGAAGGTATTTGATTGCTAGATTGACCTTTAGTCCATGATAAGTAAATAATAAATAGGTCGTAACTTTAACAACAAGTAATTCATAGGTATGTTTAAATTTATAACTTTAACTCTACTATATAACAAGAGAAATAAACCTATCAAAAGTCAGAGGAAGATATGTAAAGATATTTATACAGTTTTCACTGGGTATGCAATCTACAAAAACAGTTTGTTCTAGTGAACTGAAGAAAAAAGACATAGAGTCTTTGTACTGGAAAATAAAATTAATTATATTTTAGAACCGTATAAGTATATACATGTAAGTCAATCAACAAAAACACACTGATGAGGAATGAAATCAACAGCTACATTGAAGTAGTACGTAACAGTGACAGAACAATTCAAATAAGGGTTGATTTATGTAAAATGTTGAGAAAGGTGTTCCCCAATTTTTTTTTATTTATGAATTAATTAATTTCATATCAGTTTATCTATTTAATGAAATATATAAAATACGGATTTTACATAATACTTCACAGAAAATAAAAAGTAGCTACTTATAATTTGTATCCCAACTTTATCAATCATAAGTATTACCAATAACTGTAGTTCATAGAAAACGGAGCCAAATGTAGGGATATTAGTACAGTAATTGCTTAATTATATTGTTCATGTTTTATTCTCGTCTTTGAAATTAAAAAGATTTTTTTCACAACAACTCGGGAACAAGTTAAACTAACTTACATGAATTAATTTTCTCATCCGGATGGAGGCGCGCGAGGGTTCTTACTGCAGGTGAAACACGTAGTACCGGAGGAAAACCCACGTGGTGGGGTATACCTTTCCATGTCCGTTCCGGCAACCCGTATACCTTGGTGAAAGTGGAGTGCGTTCCGATTGCGCAACAAACTATGCCTTTCTCAATAATCATCACTTGATTTTTTCTTTTTTTCATTGCCTTTCTTTCGTTTCTATTTTGTCTTCGACTTTATTTATTGTTTCGCTTCTATTTCGTCTTCACCTTTGTTTTTTAATTCGTTTCTATTTAGTCTTCCCCTCTGTTTTTTTAATTCGTTTCTATTTTGTCCTCGCATTTCTCATGTTACTATTTTGTTATTTTATCCTACCCTTTCTTTTGTTCATATTCTGATATCTTTTCATTGACATGTGGGTATGTTTTTTCTTTTGTACTTTGTAGATATAATTATTTCACTTGTTGAAAATCTCCAGTAGATTGCGCTGCACTAGTTATCATACAAAAGTTGTGTTTAATCTCTCGCTGCTCTGTTACTCTCTAGTTGTCTCTTTGAGTAAACTTACTGGTTACAAAGCCCTGTCATTTTTTTTATTTCAGATCTAACAATAGATTGACATTTAGAATACGGAGTACAAATCATAAGTATACATTCAGTGAATACTTCCTCTTCTGTATGAAGGTGATCTACAAAGTTATACTCCAACACATATTCAGCTATCAAAAGTGATGAGATTTTTCTGGATTGAAACCTTGTAAAACCTTGTCAAGTTGAATAGCATTGAGAGCAGTATAAACCTGATAGTATATTTGCTACTAAACCGTTAATAACACAAAGGTTTGTCTAAGGTAAAATTGTTGTACATGTAGACCAGGTAAAACAAAACGACGTACGAGTCCTGTAAATTTTCTGAAGGAAAAATAAAAGGGTTTTACCTGTTACTACACACACCCATGTGGTAGACGTCGATGTCAGACGGACACAGGTAGAGAATTCTGGACAGGTATGGTTACGGCATGTTCCCATCAAAGTTTCATCCTAAAATATTGTAGAAACGTAAGGTTTTTGTTATTTAATTTTGAAGCGGTATTTGAAATATTTATGACTGTTGAATAAGTATTCTAATAAAAAAATCTTACCGGAGAAACATTGGCCCTGTTTCCATAAATAGACCTGGACTTTGCTTGAAATTGCCCTGGTGCCGTGCTGGAATCGTCTTCGATAAGTCGACATCGTAAATCTGGTGTATTGTATGTGAAGGATTTACATCCCGATTCCAAACCACAATGTCGAGCACAGTCATACAAACCAACCTCACTGATAGACTTAAATCCCGTACTGGACAAATAAAAGTTAGGCTGAAATCGGGGCACATCTAGTTGTATTCCACGAGTAAGAGCTAACATAGAAAATATTAGCACCGATGTTTTTAACGACATGGTTCAAGGAGTTATGGTTTGTCAAAATTCCCAATCAACTATTTCATACTAGTTTTGTCAATTAGATAATTCACTCGATGGCATTCCAGCGAGTGCGAATTTGTGTTTAACGAAAATAAGTCATATCAATAAGAACAATGGCACGCGACAAATCTATATCATAGAAACATTAAAAGACACATTACAGATACCAACAATTTTTATTACTGAAAACGATTAGAGAGTAAACTTGTAAGTATTTTAATATTTAAAAATCGTTAACCCATTTCAAATATTTGCACTGTTAAGTGTTGTTTGTATCCCAAATGGGCCATTATCACATACGTATTTGTAACGGGTGAAATAATCTATGCTTTTCGTTTGTATTGGATTAAGTGTCATATTTTGCTCCTATGTGACCTGTTGTCTGAAATTAAACAAAATAAATCCGTTTTTAGAACAAAAAGTATCAATATATCCAATATTTTGTAGTAAACATAAGGGTTTTTTTTTATTTAACAACACAAAAGATACATTTGGTTGCCTTTGGATGTGTTTAGTAGATGTCAGCATGTCTATTGATAAAGTTCACTAAGTAGAGTTATTTTCAACTGTATTTATAGCAATACACAAAATGAAACGCCACTTCGTCTTGGTCCGCTCGTAATGAGTAAAATCCCAGGTTACGCAACTTTAACTAAGAAATGGAAGTGACAGAATAATCTACCTATATCGCTATGGTAAAGATAAACTTATCTGAGAAATATTCAAAACGACATCATGCTTTTGTACCGATATAAAAGCTGTTGAAGCTCACTCTTTGTAAGATTACCTCCCTCAGATCGTAACTGACAATTTTTTTTCTATTTCATTTATCTATTTTCATTTCTATCAACTTAAACCACAATTATTTAAAGATATTCATTTCAGTTTTAGAATATTTATATTTCGCAATGTTTTCCTTCTGCTTTGTGTACACAATGGTTTTAACACCAAACACATGTCTACAGTCTTTCACAGTATTATCACACATGACAAACATTGTCTGTCCTGTACGTGGTGTATTTACATATGGTAAGTCGCTGTCTGTGAAAACAGCTGGATGGTTCTCCAAACCACATCTGAAAAATTGTCGGTTTCCTAGGAGAAAATACCAACCAAAGTTTTCAGATTTAGAGAAAGGGGTAAACTTCATTCCTTAACCAGACAGCAGAGCCTCGATTTTATCCTAGTAGAAGAAAGTACATTACATGTATTATCTCTCGTTATAGCAGCAGTTTTCGGATTCATAGTAAAATACAGACATAAATTTACAGGAGTTCAGACTTCTAGACAAACACCTGTATGATGACGTATCGTTCTGTGTCACAGAAGTATTTGTACGTTACAAGTTTTATAAATAAGGATATGGTAATAAAAACGATAATATTTGTACATTACAAGTTTTATAAATAAGAACAGATAATAAAAACGATAATATTTGTACGTCACAAGTTTTATAAATAAGGATATGGTAATAAAAACGATAATATTTGTACGTTACAAGTTTTATAAATAAGGACAGATAATAAAAACGTTAGTATTTGTACGTCAAAAAAATTATAAATAAGGACAGATAATAAAAATGATAATATTTGTACGTCACAAGTTTTATAAATAAGAACAGATAATAAAAACGTTAGTATTTGTACGTCACAAGTTTTATAAATAAGAACAGATAATAAAAACGATAATATTTGTACGTCACAAGTTTTATAAATAAGGACAGATAATAAAAACGTTAGTATTTGTACGTCAAAAAAATTATAAATAAGGACAAATAATAAAAACGATAATATTTGTACGTCACAAGTTTTATAAATAAGAACAGATAATAAAAACGATAATATTTGTACGTCACAAGTTTTATAAATAAGATCAGATAATAAAAACGATAATATTTGTACGTCACAAGTTTTATAAATAAGGACAGATAATAAAAACGTTAGTATTTGTACGTCACAAGTTTTATAAATAAGGACAGATAATAAAAACGATAATATTTGTACGTCACAAGTTTTATAAATAAGGAGATGGTAATAAAAACGATAATATTTGTACGTCACAAGTTTTATAAATAAGGACAGATAATAAAAACGATAATATTTGTACGTCACAAGTTTTATAAATAAGGATATGGTAATAAAAACGATAATATTTGTACGTTACAAGTTTTATAAATAAGGACAGATAATAAAAACGATAATATTTGTACGTCACAAGTTTTATAAATAAGGACAGATAATAAAAACGTTAGTATTTGTACGTCACAAGTTTTATAAATAAGGACAGATAATAAAAACGATAATATTTGTACGTCACAAGTTTTATAAATAAGAACAGATAATAAAAACGATAATGTTTGTACGTCACAAGTTTTATAAATAAGGACAGATAATAAAAACGATAATATTTGTACGTCACAAAAAATATTTTTGCAGTATTTATATTTTTCATTTTTCAAATATAAACAGTTCATTGATTTTACCCTAAAGTCACGCGACTATAAATCAGATTTCACAACACAACGTGCTTTGTGTTTCTTCAGAAATTATTTACATTTTCGTGGAGTGGAGTGATACGATTTCCAGAATGGATTAAGCATGGGAATTTTAAATAGGAAATCACTCCTTGTGTCAGTAACTGACGCTATTTTGTTTGTAACAGATTCTACGTGTTGTAATTTGGACTGTCAGATCGACGTGTGGCAGACGAAGTTGTAAAAGTTCTTAATCAAGTATGTTATTGTGATAATAATGTTTGAAAATAAATGTGTTCTGTTTTAATGTGATAGGTTTATAAAATTACTTATTTGAAGCAAATATGTGAAGGTCTCTTGCAAGTCCAACAACTTCAAATGTGTCAGCACACTGTATATTGATACCAAAGTGAAAGTAACCGGCGGTCAGTTTTGTGTACCTATAGCAGGCCTCTGGATTTATTCATTTCTACACCGACCGAATCACTGTTTATTGTAGTAAAGAGTCTGTTATACCAAACTTTGGCGTAGTAATGATATTATACATATAGTTCACTTTACGTAGCGTGTGGCAAATTTAATTAATCCGAACTTGTAAGAAATAAGGTCGCATTGTAGGTCTATCTGTCTGTCTCTGTTTCTTTGCTTATCAACTAAATATTAAAATTAAAAATGATATGAACGATCTCACAGCAGTGATACGATATGCTGACAATAAAAAATAACGTCTCATATATCAAAACTCGAAAAATCGCCATTTCAATCTACGAAACATCGGATCTACTTCCGGTACAATGGTGTCCTGTGTGATTAGACCTAGAACAACATAGAATTCAACTAGTGTGTGAAAGAAAACCCAATGTTAAATAATTCATCACATAGAAGTACATTTAATCAACAAGGCTTTCTCTTGTTACCTGTAAACGAGGTCATGATTTTTTCACAAAATACATTGAAATCGACGTAACATGTAAAAAGACTTCATGGAGACGGAGCGCCTTCCATACCACGGAGCTTTAGATCTATACATTCGGACAATGGCGCCCAGGAATATTTATCTCGCTGAGATAAAAATGTTTCGTTCTCTGGAGAAAATCGAGAGCTAGACGAGACAATTCGAGGGCCAATCTGGAAGAATCCAATCATAGCGTGTGGTCGTATATGTGTTGACCGTAGGGACGAATACAATCCGAAGGACAGGGTTAATAGGGGCAATATATTCAGACCGTCATTATATTAAGTGGCAGATATATTGGATCGTCATGGAAGGAGACCGAGGATGTAAACGATATGTTCCGCTGTTTCAGAAAGACCATGTCTACATCACTATGGGGAGTGCCTATAGAGAGGCAGGATTATGATTTTCCAGACGGAAACTTGACAAAAGTACCATATCGAAGAGATGTGATAATGTAAGGGTTGATATTCCTCGCTGTTTAAAATAAAATGAAATCGCGATACCTTGAACGAAATTTAAAGAGAACAAGACAGCCATGGACCTTATATATAACCCTCAGAATGATGTTTCAGGAAACATTTGGTTGAAATCTGTACCGGGGTAAGAGAACAAAAGTTCAAAGCAAAATCCCCGAAGTTTTCCATCCAGACTGTCCTCATTCATTGGCCCAAGGGGTCGGAATACCTCCAGGTATATAAATCACAATTGTCCTCTCCGGATGTTTCAGACTAAATTTTGTTAAAATCTTCCCGGACATATCTGAAGTAAAGAATTTCAAAGTCTTAACTCAAAATTTCCCCTAGCTGGCCTCACGCAACCATTAGATCTTAGGGGCCGTTTCACCTTCTTACAATGGACTTCCTCAACAATGTTCCATGTAAGATTTAGTTGAAATCTGTCTAGTCATATTTGAGGAGAAGAATTTAAAACTTAACCCCCCCCCCCCAATATACACGAACAGGCTTCCAAACCCCTTGTTGAAATCTATGCAGATATATCAGAGACGACGAATTTTAATGCCTAACCCTTAATTTTCCATAACATATCTCACCTTCCGGTCCCTATGTATCACAACATCTTCAGTTACACATGTTATAATCGTTTTCCCCGTAGTTAAAAGATCAATGAGCTTAGATGAAGTAAAACAGCAAGATTTTAAGATGCAACATTACACATATAATGATTTTTATTTCAACTATATCCTAAATGTACAATATGTATATGATAATAACACCGAGCTTACATCTAATTGCTACATTCTATGGTGTGTGTTCCTATTACCTTCAAAACACTTATTGTTATATACGATATATGGTTTAAGAGGAAATGACGTAATATCTATAATTCTCTAACCTCTTGTCCAAGTCTAACTAGAGTGTAGTTTTCCTAATGTTTCTGTGAGAGAAAATAAATTAATTTAGCCTGTAAACACGTGCATTACGAGAAAGAATATATATAGAACATCGAAACGATACATGCTTAATGAGAATACAGAGAAGCTGTCAATTAAAGACCTACACAGTTTTAACAGCACTGAGCAGGCGATATACTGATGTCCACTTAAACCAATCTGTAACTATATAATGTACATTGATTGTCTACATCACATCCGCTTGTTAATTCTATTTTCACAAAAAGATCGCCACTCCCCCTTGATGACGTATTTCCGGTTTGCCTTAATCATCCGAGTAGCGAACTGAACATTCTACCGAGGACTGATCGTTTGCGGCCGTCATAGAAACCTGCATTCATGGCAAAGCACCGAGCTGCCATAGAATCGCACAAACAAGATCGTCGTTTACAAATGTCGATGTCCACTGCAAAGAGAGACAAACAATTTTTTTCAATTTTTCTATATTACCCATGATACATATTAAGATTTATATATAGGAACCATTAGATCCTCAAACTCTTTATTGTTTTAGGGAGAAAAAAATTTCCGTTAAAACGTTTCAGAAAATTCCTTCCACGTCACATGTCCATCATTTGATAGGTGATAGAAAAGCAGAATATTCGAACTTCATAAGTAGATTTCAGACTGTGTTGTGATAACGAATTGTATAGATGTCTGTTTCAGGAGACTTCAAACAATGTGTTGTGTACCTGTTTTACTTTGTGTTTATTCCTGGAACATATTTTTGTCATTACAACTGCTTTCTGTGTACAAAGCAGAAATTATTAGTGTACATCCGGATGTGTGTTACTTACAACATTGGAAGTGACCGTTCTCCATGAACCATCTATACCGGGCAGTATATGGTTTCATCCTCACGAAGGACGGCTCCATGAGACAGTCATGCATGTTCACCTGGTCGTAACAGCGGTCATGATGCATGCAGCATCTGCAATGACGTCAGTGAATCACATAAACATCTAAATAACCTTGTAGATGTTATAGGAAGAATCAGATTTACATAGTCATCAAAACAGCTTTCTGAAAAAGTTGATAATCTATATCAGGACTCATTTACGGCTAGTTAATAGACACAATTCAGCGATGTGCTCTGGTCGATGGTTTTCTACCAAATCATTGGCAGCAATTGCAAAATCAATCGTTTTTGGTCAAGTGTTGAACAATTCTCTTTTTCTTCTGTGTTGTTTTTAGTTAATCTTATTAACGCCGTGTTGGCCGCAAACAATTTGCAATTTCTCACGCACTGCTTTCGAAAATTTAACATTTCTTTTCAATGCAGCCGACGGCCTGATAAGGATGCACAGGTGAAGTAATTATTTTCCTAGCCATATTTTTGAGTGCCATTCGGTACTACTGATAGACCACTGAAGACGTTCGAATTGTGCATGTTAACTGTCTTTTCTTCGCTTCGATTTATCTATCAGCACTTTTCTTTTGGGTAACAAACTGTTATGGAGTCGTTGAGGGAGATAGATAAAGATTGCTGTATCTGAGATTTACAAGTCAAACGGACCGGGAAGTCTGTTACGTACAAACTTTATGTTTAATGTAAAAATGTTTCTATTAGGAATAAATTCCTTAACAAAAAGACAGGCTGTGTTTAAAACTCTGTGCACAGACTGGAATGCATATCAACTTTCTGGGTTGTTCATGGTTTAGTTTATACATGTACATTTACAGACCTCGTTCTCGTAAAATGTCATCCCAAAAATTTGGTTTTAGCTACTTTCTAATATTTAAAATAGGTCATGGACAGATATACAGTTTAGAATATTCTGTCTAATATTGAGGCCAAACAACAGGACTGGTTTCCAATAGGTGTATTGGTTAAGCTGACATTCTAGGAACACTTAAACCTATATATCGTATATCTAGTCCAGGTGATAGATACAGAGGTAATCTCTAAGCTTAACACCTGTGAACAAACTTGGACCGTTCGGCATATTCCATGAAGAAAGCCGTTGACGAATCAACCTTTCTTTTAATTCACTAATTATCGTTACTAAGACATACACCACAACCATTCTCGGTATTTCAGGGGTTACGTCACTTCCGCTCTCTGTACCCCTGGGACATTCCATGGCAAAATTGAAGTTTCCATATGTGATATCTTTTGGACAAGTCAAAAAGACTAGTTTGATTCTTTGGTGTGCATCAAATGAATCTCGAGGTTGATTAACAGTATGTTGTACCGGATTTAAAGTTGAGTGTCGCTCCATTGTAATCATTAAAGAAGCGGATTAGTTTGCAAAATGGTCAGATATTTTTTTAAACTGGTTGTAGACCAATCAAATTTCTTAAATGTCCAAGGGCTATGGGTTATCGAGGGTGAACGACAATCTATCTCTAAGTAAGGAAATAATGGACGTTCTCTGCCCATCTATCGTAGTCATGGATGTTTCAGAAAATTTTCGATACTAATGAAAATTAAGACTACAGAACAACGATATAAAGGAGTATCTAGGCCGACTAACAATGTATAGACAGCTTATCAAACTAGGAAATTCCTTGTCAACAATACTTACTCGTCGATAGGGTCAAGAGGTACGCCATGTCCTCCCATCCCGCAGTAGTTCCCGTACCCGTTAAAATCCAGCCCGCTCCTTCCGGTTAGCAGCTTGATCATGGTACCGAACTCCCGAATACTCCTCTTGGCTCGCCGGGCTTCGGCTCCTGCAACCAAATCGTTTTATATTTTATATTAATTGTAAACATGTCTTGTTTTCGGGCAATAAGAAATTATGGTAATCTAAAAGTGCATGAACTAGCAAAATAGGCACACAATCTTCAAAAAAGGAAGTTTTACATTTAGAAGGTTTCAGTTAAATCTCTGAGTTATTAGCAATGTCATATTTAAATAGACTAAACACATGTTCTATCAGATGAACTGTATTTTAATTGGAATAGAATTCGCAAATTACGACATGTAAACAAAGGAATGCACGTACAACACGTAATATAAGTACAAGATTTAATAGTTGCCACAGAATATAATAACACGTATATGTATATAAAACATGTATTTAAAATTTTGTCACAAAATATTTAAAAACTTTGAATTACTAAATTTTCTAAAAATATGAATGAAAAAAAGTCAAATAAATGGTGAATAAGAAAATGAGATACCTAATACTTACCATAGCAGCTCCCCCACCACAGCAGAATGAGAGTTAAAATCCAGCTTAGTCGCATTAGACCTCTCAAACCTGGCAAAAATAAAGAGGAAAAATAGCAAAAAATAAAGGCAAAGCCTCTGTCTACATAAACAATGCAATATTTTCTAAAAATTAAGTCCTTAGCAAAAAATCAAAGGAAAGAAAGTGCAATCTGTACCAATTTCTTAACTTCTGGAACTCACTTTCAGAAAATCTGCCCATTGCTGTACAGTTGATACAACGGAAACAGTTCTGTACATGACTACATGTACATATTCACAGTCTGATTAACATACACTCATTTTATTGGCCTATTGATAGATCGGTACTGTCCTGCCATTTATTGTCATTTATATATTCCTGGCGTTACGTTGATATATAATGCAGTTGTGTGGTTTGACAGGATATATTTTTCTAATTCGTGCACAGAGCTTTCCTTTTCGTTAGAGAATCTGACATATCCATGATTTCGCGTACGGGGAAGCAGATCCTACATTTAATAAATTTCTTGTCCTTTTTCCAGACGAAGACATCATCGAACTATCTGGCAGAGAAATTTAAGTATTTTGCTATGTCTTCGTATCATATTCAGATCAACTAGTCCACCAATTCAACGTCGTATAAAAACATCGCGTTTCTCAGACTTTTCGGTTTTACACGTAGGTACACAAGCCAGTCTATCTTGTAACTTGTGGTTAAAATTAACCGATATACCTGGACCGTGTATGAAAACACCTTAAGCACATCTTAGGTGTTACAACTGCCACCAGTAATGTGATTCCCGGTTAATATTGTACACTGAGGATCACAGAGATGTTTATCAACAGCGCTAAGCCAGGTCAATAAAATAACACACAGATCCCTCAAGGCAACAAAAGAAACAATGTATGTCCGTAGATATGTTTTATATGCCTGGTTTTATTACTGTTATGTCGTATTTTTGCCTTGTCACAGTGACTTAAGGCAAAGCGATAAACTGTAAACCGACATTTATGCAGTGTGATTTCGTGACAACAAGGCGATTTTAAAGCTCACCCCGACAAATTGAAACTGGATGCGAAAAGCCAAAATGGTCCTTATCAAAGTTCACTTAGTTCTAGAAATATTTAGCGTAAAGCATGATGTCCATAAGGCCTATTCTGCTTACCTGTTTATAACGACGATGTCTCTGTTAGTTTCATTATACATTTGAGGGTGTAAAACTGTGTGAAAGCTTTACATAACAGGGGAAGGATTTTCAGACCAACGTTTCCCTTCGTTTCCCTTAAATGGCCCCTTCGTTTGCCTCGAGATTCTTAATTTGATAGAAAAGAGCCCTTTTAATCGAAGGAACTCCAGATCAAATTTTCTCTTAATCCTTGTATCCAGAAAGAAGGATTTAAGGATTCGCCATTATTTGTCATGCCGTGAGTTAAGTCTTCTTTTTGTATGCGAAATAAAATCCAATTCACCCAAGGATATCCCAGACTAAAGTTAAAAAAAAAACAATCTGACCTCTAAATCGATGAAACGAGCGTAAGATATGAACTAAAGAAAAAAATAAGATGAAGACGTGAAAAGTGCAAGGAGGATAAGGGCAGGTGTTTGGGAAGAGTTAGCACCTTCTGCTTCATTGAAGATAGACGCCGTGTAAATGTTGGTAAGTAAGTAATGCCATGTTCTCAAAGAGGAAATCACAAAGTATACCACGAACATCGGACACATCTTATAAGATTACAATATCATGATGACTACCGTAAAACCTCCACTTCACGAACCTGCATCTCTCTCAGCTGTCTTCTCTCGTAAAAATCGTAATATAGGGAATAAGCCATTAAATATCGACTGCTACAAATAAACACATCTTATAAGAGCTGCATCATCACTATCCAGAAAGGGAACAAAATAAAGCGGACATTCCTCGCTGTTTGTATACTAAGTGGCAAGCCGTCCCCGTGGAGAGTGGCTGATGTAGAGAGTCTGTAGTGTTCTTGGTTCCCATTTCCGGTGGGTATATACGATAAAAACGATCTGTTATTTAAGGACAAGACATCATCAGTATAATTAAGAATTAAACTGAAAAACTTTGGAAATTTTTTTTTATATTTGTATAAATGAGTTGCTCGATTAAGTCGATGCCAATGCGAAACCAGGCTTAAAATAACCATGTAAAAGTATTCGAAGTTGCCAACTAGAACCAAAATCATAAGTTAGAGGTATTTATATAAGGGTTATCAATAATGTTAATACTGATAATAATAAAAACATCAAAAACCAAACAAAAAATATACTTTTTGGATTAAGTCATTATAATTCCAAAAGAGGTTTCCATTTTCTTAAATCTGTTTTCAAAATATCCTTTAATCAGCTCACTTTTACTGTTATTTACAAATTTTTGAACCAGGAAATGATCTTTTATAACACTGATGAGTGCATTGCTGTTAAGGGTTTGGTGAGCCGAGGTTTTTCTTCTTTTTGGAATGCTGGTTATTACACCATGCGTCATAGTTTATGGTAAGGACAACAAAATTACCGAAATCTTTCCAAAAAAATCTGAAGTGAATCCGTCTGACCCAGGACTTTTATTATCTTTTATGTCTATGAAAGTTTTCCCTGCTCCATCAAATGCTATGCTACCCTCAATGTTTTCATATTCGGTATTACTTAGTGTTTTAAACTTTTAATTCTGCAGATGGATTTCTAAATAAATATTACTAACATCTCGATATTAATATAATATTTTTATAAAAAGACCGAACTTCTGCCAAAATATCCTCTTGGTTTATAATGACCTCATTTCTCTCTGAATCTTTGGAATAATTTTTGAACTTAAGTTTCTATTTTCTGAATTTAAGAAGTTTTCCCCTGTTTCCTCTATTCCTATTCATCATTGTTTACAGTTGTACAGGAAGCTCACAGAAGGCATTCATCTCCATTGTACCAGAAATACACTTAGGATACTTTTTCACACTCCACCAAGGCCTGAACAAAAAGAACAGTTCAAATATTTATGTCAAAGGTCAAATCAGAGCCCACACTGAGAATTAAGGTCTTATGAGAAAATCAGTCAATCTTCATAATTACAAGAGCTCTCATGAACGTCAGGAAATCCATTTGTAAAATTCCGAAATAATTATCTTTCGTCAAACATTCAGTTCCACCAGAATACAACATAGAGATAAACGTATATGTATATAAATACACGTACACATGTAAGCGGACATATTACCTGTAGATCTGTATGTTCTGAGAACAGTAATGACATCTGTCGAAAGAACACGTCTTGTGCAAAAATAATATAAAGCCAGCCATTCTAACAACTATAACATGAAAAGAATGTAGCTTACCACAGAGTTCCACATAATCCAAGACCAGCTAAACAAACAAACACTGCGAAGCAAATGAGTGGTAGTGTACCCTAGGGGTAGCTGAGGATGTCACGTGATCAAAGTGAATGATCGTTTAAATATCGTTTAGTGCACTTCCTAGTACGAGTTATACATCTATTTCTAATTGACATGTTCCTGGTCGTTATATAGCATTACATACAGTATATATATGTAACCATCATGTCGTGTCAACCGTAGGAGATCATGTTGTTGTGTAAGAGAGACATTTCAGTGACAGAAGCTACATATTTATGCGGATTACTAAATTCATTAGATATAATTTTAAAGTTCGTTACACATTATGAATTACAGAAAATTCATCGATGGGAGAAAAAAGATTGATAAAGCTGAGGAATCATCGTTGTTTTATATATTTATTATAATTACCATTATCATTCTATTTAAATCTAAACATAGATTCCTATATCATGACCTACATAATTAATGATATTCATTGCATTCTTTTGTTTCATTGTTTGTTTATGTATATTGTTTGTAAGTTTGTCCCTGTTGTTTCCTTTGTTTGTGTATATTGTTTGTAAGTTTGTCCCTGTTGTTTCCCTTGTTTGTGTATATTGTTTGTAAGTTTGTCCCTGTTGTTTCCCTTGTTTGTGTATATTGTTTGTAAGTTTGTCCCTGTTGTTTCCCTTGTTTGTGTATATTGTTTGTAAGTTTGTCCCTGTTGTTTCCCTTGTTTGTGTATATTGTTTGTAAGTTTGTCCCTGTTGTTTCCCTTGTTTGTGTATATTGTTTGTAAGTTTGTCCCTGTTGTTTCCTTTGTTTGTGTATATTGTTTGTAAGTTTGTCCCTGTTGTTTCCTTTGTTTGTGTATATTGTTTGTAAGTCTGCCCCTATTGTTTCCTTTGTTTGTGTATATTGTTTGTAAGTCTGTCCCTATTGTTTCCTGTTTGTATATATTGTTTGTAAGTCTGTCCCTATTGTTTCCTTTGTTTGTGTATGTTGTCTGTAAGTCTGTCCCTATTGCTTCCTTTGTTTGTGTATATTGTTTGTAAGTCTGTCCCTATTGTTTCCTGTTTGTATATATTGTTTGTAAGTCTGTCCCTATTGTTTCCTTTGTTTGTGTATATTGTTTGTAAGTCTGTCTCTATTGCTTCCTTTGTTTATGTATATTGTTTGTAAGTCTGTCCCTGTTGTTTCCCTTGTTTGTGTATATAGTTTGTTAGTTTGTCCCAATTGTTTCCTATGTGTATATTGTTTATCAATTTGTCCCAATTGTTTCCTTTGTTTGTGTATATTGTTTGTAAGTTTGTCCCAATTGTTTCCTTTGTTTGTGCATATTGTTTATTAGTTTGTCCCTATTGCTTCCTTTGTTTGTGTATATTGTTTGTTAGTTTGTCCCTGTTGTTTCCTTTGTTTGTGTATATTGTTTGTTAGTTTGTTAGTCCCTTAAAGATAAAAGGTTGGTGAACAAGAGTTTAAATATTGGAATCGTTTGAAAGATGAGGATTTGGCTGCAGTTAATCAGAACACAGTCGGTCTGGCGAGCCAGCAAAGACCTCAGCCCAGTCCACATCAAGCACTCATACATATGTGCTGCCTGTATCAAGAGACCAACCCAATGTGTTGTCTCTTCCGCCAAGTCATACTAAACTGGTGACTCGTCTAAAGGGTCATCTTAAACTGGTGACTCGTCTAAAGGGTCATCCTAAACTGGTGACTCGTCTAAAGGGTCATCCCAAACTAGTGACTCGTCTAAAGGGTCTACCCAAACTAGTGTTTCGTCTAAAGGGTCATCCCAAACTGGTGACTCGTCTAAAGGGTCATCCAAAACTAGTGACTCGTCTAAAGGGTCATCGCAAACTGGTGACTCGTCTAAAGGGTCATCTCAAACTG